TCAGGAGAGACCCAAACAGCCCTGGGAGGATCAGATCACATCAAATCCTAAGGAATCCCATTCCCAGGAGGGAAACTTGGGAGGGGAACCGACCCCCCATCCCCAGGAAAGACCCCCCAAAACCCAGGAGAGACCCCCATCCTTGGGAGGGACCCCCCTGAGCACCAAAGGAACCCCGTCCCCATGAGGGGAATTGATCCACCCATCCCCAGGAGAGACCCCATCAACCCCTAAGGAACCCCATTCCCATTCCCAGGAGGGGGTGGGGTCCTCAGGAGAGACCCCCACAGCCCTGGAGGGACTCCCATTCCCAACAGAAACCTCCAGCCCTGGGTGGACCCCCAAACCCACAAGGATCATCCCTTTGAGGGACATCCAACCCCTGGAAGCCCTGGATGGACCCCCCAGCCCTGGAGGAACCCCCAAACCCACAAGGGTCGTCCCCCTCCTTGGAGGGACATCACTGGAGGAGCCCCCAAATCCACTGAGGTCATCCCTCTGAGGGACACCACTGGCCTAGGAATAACATCCAATCCCTTTGAGGGACATCCAACCCCTGAGAAGGACCCTGCCAGCCTTGGAGGAGCCCCCAAACCCAAAAAGGTCATCCCTTTGAGGGACACCACTGGAGGAACGCCCAAGCCACAAGGATCATCCCTTTGAGGGACACCACTGGGCTGGGAAGGACATCCAACCCCTGGGACAGACCCTGCCCGCCCTGAATGGACCCCCCACCACCTTCAGGAGGACCCCCCCAGCCCCATGAGGAGCCCCCCACCTTCAGAAGGACCCCCCCAGCCTCAGGAGGATCCCCCCAGCCCCTTGAGAAGCCCCTGCCCCAGCTCACCCTCCCCACAGCAGCCTGGTGTGCATGGTGCCCATGGACTTGGGCTTCTTGAGGATCCACCCGGGTCCTCCAGCCCCACGAGGAGCCCCCAGCCCCAGGAGGAGTCCCCACCTTCATAAGGACCCCCCCAGCCTTAGGAGGACCCTCCAGCACCCTGAGAAGCCCCCAGCCCCCTGAGAAGCCCCTGTCCCAGCTCACCCTCCCCGCAGCAGCCGGGCACTCATGGCGCCCATGGACTTGGGCTTCTTGAGGATCCACCTGGGTCCTCCAGCCCCATGAGGAGCCCCCAGCCCCATGAGGAGCTTCAGAAGGACCCCCCCAGCTTCAGGAGGAGCCTCCCAGCCCCATGAGGAGCCCCCAGCCCCCTGAGAAGCCTCTACCCCAGCTCACCCTCCCCGCAGCGGCCTGGTGCTCATGGTGCCCATAGACTTGGGCTTCTTGAGGATCCACCTGGGTTCTCCAGCCCCATGAGGATCCCCCAGCCCCATGAGGACCCTCCCAGTCCCATGAGGACCCCCCCAGCCCCCCGAGGAGCCCCCTGTTCCAGCTCACCCTCCCCGCAGCAGCCGGGCGCGCATGGTGCCGAAGTCCATGGGCTTCTTGATGATCCTGCGGTAGCCGGGGACCAGCCGGGGGTTGACGGGCTCCAGGAAGGGCCAGGCGTCCTCGTGAGACTCCATCTCCATCAGGATGATCCTGGGAAAGGGCAGGGAGGATGTCACAGACAGATTTTATCCAAAATCCTTCCCTTAGTCTGGGGATTTTTTCTTTGCTCGGGGTCACCAGTTGTGGTGGTGGTCATTGAAGAGATGAGAGTCTGACTCCATGTTTTAAAAGGCTGATTTATTATTTTATTTTGTATATAATATTAAAATTTATTATTTCATGATAATTTTGATATTAAAATTTATTATTATATATATGATATTAAAAGAAAATGAGATATTAAAACAAAATTATTATTATACTAAATTATTATTATACTAAAAGAATAGAAGAGACGAGAAAGAAGAGATGAGAATCTGGACTCCATGTTTCAAGATTATTTTTTATCATAAAAAGAATAAATTTGAACATCATATATATCATAAAAGAATAAATTTTAATATCATATATATCATAAAATAATAAATCAGCCTTCTGAGACATGGAGTCAAGATTCTCTTCTATTCTTCTAGTATCATTTTAATATATCATTTTCTTTTAATATCATATATATAATAAAAGAATAAATTTTAATATAATAATCCTTTCAGTGTAGTTTTAATGTATCATTTTCTTTTAATATCATATATATAAAATAATAAATTTGAATGTGATATATATAATAAAATAAACTTTTAATATAATATAGATTATATATAAAATAATAATTTTGAATATGATATATAATTAAATAGTAACTTTTAATATAATATATATTATATATAAAATAATAAATTTCAAGACCATATATAATAAAATAATAAATGTTAATATATATAATAATAAATTTTAGTATCATAGTATTATATATAAAATAATAAATTTCAATATCATATATCATAAAATAATAAATTTTAGTATCATATATATTATATATAAAATAATAAATTTAAATATCATATATATCCCAAAATAATAAATTAGCCTTCTGAAACATGGGAGTCAAGACTCATCTCTTCCCTCACCCTGGGTGCCAAGGGGGACACTGGGGGGTCCCTGACCCACCCCAGCCCCCTCCCCATTTCCCCCAGCCCCACTCACTCGCAGAAGGTCCCTGACCCACCCCAGCCCCCTCCCCACATTTCCCCCGGCCCCACTCACTCGCAGAAGGTCCCTGACCCACCCCAGCCCCCTCCCCACATTTCCCCCGGCCCCACTCACTCGCAGAAGGTCCCTGACCCGAGTGCAGCCCCCTCCCCACATTCCCCCCGGCCCCACTCACTCGCAGAAGATCCCTGACCCACCCCAGCCCCCTCCCCACATTCCCCCGGCCCCACTCACTCGCAGAAGGTCCCTGACCCACCCCAGCCCCCTCCCCACATTTCCCCCAGCCCCACTCACTCGCAGAAGGTCCCTGACCCACCCCAGCCCCCTCCCCACATTTCCCCCAGCCCCACTCACTCGCAGAAGGTCCCTGACCCACCACAGCCCCCTCCCCACATTCCCCAGCCCCACTCACTCGCAGAAGGTCAGGTCGCTGGGCTGGCCCCGCAGGGCCCCGCTCCTCCTGCGGGCCGGGCTCGGAGCCTCCCCGGGGGGACACCGTGGGGACACCGGGGGCAGCCCCCGCCGGTGCCTCGGGGCCGGGCGGCGCCGCCGCGGGCTCGGCTCCTCCTCCTCCTCTTCCCCCGGGGCTCCCCCCGAGCCCCCGGCCCCGTTTCCGTTTCTTGCCTCGCCGGGGTGAGATGGGGTCCCGGTACTGCCCGGCCTGTGGGGGGGGGGGGGAAATGGGGGTCACCTTCTGTCCCCTGTGCTCCATTTCACACTGCCTGAGGCTTGAGGGGACCCTCAGGGTCCTTCCCAGGGTCCCTCAGAGGCCATCGGGCTCTCCTGGAGGTCAGGACAGCAATGGGAGGGTCTCTCCTAGGGCTGGGGGTCTCTCAGACACCACCAGGGTCTCCCAGACACCATCAGGGTCTCTCAGACACCACCAGGGTCGACCCCAGGGGTGGGGGTCTCTCATGAGGGTCTCTCCTGGGGACCAAATCCTCACCCCAGAGGGGTGGGGTCACCAGTGCTGGGATGGGGATCCCTCCTGCTGATATGGGGGTCTCTCCCAGAGATATGAGGGTCCCATTAGGGTCTTTTCTAGGAAAGGGAACCCCAACTCCCAGGGGCATGTGGGTGCCTCAGAGACCATTGGGGTCTCTCCCAAGAATGGGACATGGGGGTCTGGAGATGGGGGTCCCATGGGGGATCCCTCTTGGGAACCAGAGTTTCTCCCCTCACCAGAACCTCTCCTGGGGACAGGGTGCCCAGCAGGGCCTGGGATCCCTCCCGGACCATCCCCCGTGGGGTTTGAGGGCTGCCCCCCGACCTACCCTGGCCACGCAGACGGAGCAGAACCAGTCGCCCTCGGGCACCTCTGTCATGCGGGGCCGGTGGCAGTAGAGGTGGCAGCCGCGGTCGCAGCCGTCGCACAGCAGCAGGTGCTCGTCATCGTCCCCTCTCCGACAAACCAGGCAGGTCTGGGGGGACACAGGGGGCTCAGAGCTGCTTTGGACCCCCCCTCTGTCCCCTCCCAGGGCGGGGTCTCAACCACTCTGTTGACGGATTTCTCCCAGGCGATGGATTTCTCCAGCTGGAGGAGGCACAGGGACACCTGGGCGGCGCTGCGGCAGCGCTCCAGCGTCTGCCGCCACGTCCGCACGCGCGGCGTGATCTCGTACGAGCTGCGGGGACAGCGGGGGCTCAGCCCAGCACGGGGGTCCTGCCCTGGGGCCCAGGCACCCGGCTGGGTCATGGGGAACCTCCCCAGAGACCAAAAAGGATCCCACAAAGAGGAGTCTTGGTTGCTGCTCAGCCCCAAGCAGGACCACGATGAACCCCGTGAGAGCCCTGTCCCCAAGGGAGACCCCGGTCCCCAGGGGAGATCCCCATCCCCAGGGGAGATCCCCATCCCTCTGAGAGAGCTCATCCCTCAGAGAGAGACCCCTTCCCTAGGAAGAGATCCCTCTGAGAGACCCCATCCCCTCTGAAAGACCCCATCCCTAAGAGGAGACCCCATCCCTCAGAGAGATCCCATCCCTCAGAGACCCCATCCCTCTGAGAGACCCCATCCCTAGGAGTAGACCCCATTCTTCAGAGACCCCATCCCTCAGAGACCCCATCCCTCTGAGAGACCCCATCCCTAGGAGTAGACCCCATTCTTCAGAGACCCCATCCCTCAGAGAGATCCCATCCCTCAGAGATCCCATCTCTCAGAGAGATCCCATCCCTCAGAGAGATCCCATCCCTCAGAAAGACCCCCATCCTTCAGAAAGACCCCATCCCCAAGAAGGAATCCCATCCTTGGGAGACCCCCCACCCCCAGGACAAACCCTGCTGACCCCCACATTCCCAGGAGGGCAGGAATGACCCCTTCTCAAGAATTCCCAGGGAAATGACCCCTCCTCAGCAATTCCCAGGGAATGACCCTTTCTCAACAATTCCCATAAAATGGCCCTTTCTCAGGACTTCCAGGGAATGACCCCTTCTCAGGAATGACCCCTCCTCAGCAATTCCCAGGGAATGACCCCTTCTCAGGAATGACCCCTTCTCAGCAATTTTCAGGGAATGACCCCTTCTCAGGAATGACCCCTTCTCAGCAATTTTCAGGAATGACCCTTTTTGGGAATGACCCCTTCTCAGGACCTCCCAGGGAATGACCCATTTGGGAGTGACCCCTTCTCAGCAATTCCCATGGAATGACCCCTTCTCAGGAACTCCAGGGGGAATGACCCCTTCTCAGGAATGACCCCTTCCCAGCAATTCCCACAAAACAACCCCCTTCCCAGCAATTCCCAGGCAAACGACCCTTTCCCAACCCCATCCCAGGGGCCCGCCTGGTGCGCTCACATCTCGGTGCTGCCCGAGCCCAGCTCCTCGGGGTTGCTCAGCACGGCTTTCTCCACCACCACCTCGTGCAGCGGCCACAGCGGCTCCTTGAGGTAGCGGCGCTCCAGGTTCTGCTCCAGCGCCGCCAGCCGCAGCACGGCCAGGTCCAGGGGGTTGGTGAGCTCCCGGCGCACGGGCAGCGCCTCCCGCCGGAGGCTGCTGCGCACCGTGATGTCCTCCAGGGGCTCCACTTTGTGCTCGCAGTACCTCAGGTCAGCCCTCGTCGAGTCCGGGCTCGGACACGTCCAGCCCTGTGGTGGAGAGAGGAGAGAGGTCAGTGGTGCTCGCTTGGTGGTGGTCAGCAAGAGTGGGAGCGGTTTGGGAGGGGTGGGAGGGTTGGGATGGATGGATGGAGGTGAGAGATCTCTGAAGTGAGGTGGTGGAATTTGGGGTTTATTGCAAAGGAACAAGTGCAGGGACCCTGCTGGGAGCTGCCAGGCACACCTGGAGCAGGACTGAGAGAAGAGAGGGGTAGAGAGGATGAGAGAGAGGATGAGAGGATAAGAGAGAGAGAGTAAAAGAGAGGATAAGAGAGAGAGGTTCCCATTACAATAAAATAATATCTTTTTCTGGTTGTGGAATTTGGGGTTTATTGCAAAGGGCCCAGTGCAGGGACCCTGCTGGGAGCTGCCAGGCACAGCTGGAGCAGGCACAGGGAATGACCCCTGCTCAGCAATCATGAGTGTGAGCAGGTGTGCAAGAGTGTGAGCAGGTGTGCCCAAAAGAGAGGGGTAGAGAGGATGAGAGAATAAAAGAATAAGAGGGTAAGAGCACGAGGTTCCCATTATAAATCTTCTTCTGGTCGTGCAATTTGGGGTTTATTGCAAAGGGCCAAGTGCAGGGAGCTGCTGGGAGCTGCCAGGCACAGCTGGAGCAGGACAGAGAGGGAGAGAGGGGTAAAGAGAGAGAAGGCAAGAGCGTGGTAAAGAGATGAGAGAGTGAGGAAGAGTAAAGAGAGAGTAAAAGAGGACGAGGTTCCCGTTGCAACACAATAAATCTTCTTCTGTGCTGAATATTCTAATTCTCACTCACCAATCTAGTACAAGATACAAATCCTACAGCATTTGCACACAGCCTGTAAGAATCATTACATTACCACACTGGGTTACATTTTAAACCCTACAAACTCCTCTTTGGGCCCTTCTGCCAAGCCAGCAGGGTCTGCTCTGCCCCTTGGAGCTGCCTGCAAGCAGAGGGTGTTGTTCCACCAAAGGGGGATCACCTTCAGCAGCCACACCATTGCTTTCCAGCTGTTCAGTAACTGAGGGATCTCAAAGCTTGCTTTCATTTCAATCTCTCTTATAGTTTCCATATTCTCAAAATCAATCATATTTATAAGGCTTTCCTGTTTCATCTCCCCCAACATCCTCACCTGTCTGTCTGTGTGTCTGTCCGTCCTGGCTCACCTAAACTTGCTTTCCCTTCAATCTCGCTTAAAATTTCCATATTCTCAAAATCTTATGCCAGACAATTGTATTTATGAGGCTTTCCTGTTTCATCTCCTTCAACATCCTTACCTGTCTGTCTGTGTGTCTGTCCGTCCTGGCTCACCTAAACTGCTTTCCCTTCAATCTCACTTATAATTTCCATATTCTCACAATCTTTTCCCAATCATATTTATAAGGCTTTCCTGTTTCATCTCCCCCAACACTCCACCTGTCTGTCTGTGTGTCCATCTGTCCTGGCTCACCTAAACTTGCTTTCACTTCAATCTCGCTTATAATTTCCATAATCTCAAAAATCTTTTGCCAGACAATCGTATTTACGAGGCTTTCCTGTTTCACCTCTCCCAACAAGCCAGAGCTGGGGCTGATCCTGGCTGGCACCCACCCGGATCTGCAGGTCGGCCATGAGGACGCGCTGCTCCAGCTCCTCCACCCACTGCAGCACGCCCAGGTCGGTCTCGTAGGCTCTGTCCAGCACTGACCACTGAGCCAGGGCCTCCCGAGACACCGCGGTGGCGGCCGGGTCCGGGCGAGGGTGGAAGATGGGGTCTGGAGAGGAGAGAATGGTGTCAGGGTCATGATGGGGTCTGGAGAGGAGAAAATGGGATTAGGGATGGGGGAAAGGCAGGAGAGACACATCCCGGGACATGATGGGGTCTGGAGAGGAGAAAATGGGATTAGGGATGGGGGAAAGGCAGGAGAGACACATCCTGGGACATGATGGGGTCTGGAGAGGAGAGAATGGGATTAGGGATGGGGGAAAGGCAGGAGAGACACATCCCTGGACATGATGGGGTCTGGAGAGGAGAAAATGGGTCAGGGAGGAAAACCAAAAGCTGGGATATGATGGGGTCTGGAGAGGAGAAAAGGGGGGTCAGGAATGGGGGACAGGCAGCAGAGCCACATCCTGGGACATGATGGGGTCTGGAGAGGAGAAAAGGGGGTCAGGGAGGAGAAACCCATTCTGGGACAGAGGGAAAAGATAGGGGTCTAGAGAGGAGAAAATGGGGTCAGGGAGGAGAGACACAACCTGGGACATGATGGGGTCTGGAGAGGAGAAAAGGGGGTCAGGGAGGAGAGACACAACCTGGGATATGATGGGGTCTGGAGAGGAGAAAATGGGGTCAAGGATGGGGGACAGGCAGCAGAGCCACATCCCAGAACACAAAGGAAAGATGGGTCTGGAGATGAGAAAATGGGTGAGGGTCATGATGGGGGTCTGGAGAGGAGAAAATGGGGTCAGGGAGAGGGGAAAGGAAGCAGAACCCCATCCTAGGACAGAGGGGGAAAATGGAGTCTGGAGAGGAGAAAAGGGGGTCAGGGAGGAGAGACACATCCCTGGACATGATGGGGTCTGGAGAGGAGAAAAGGGGGGTCAGGAATGGGGGACAGGCAGCAGAGCCACATCCTGGGATATGATGGGGTCTGGAGAGGAGAAAAGGGGTCAGGAAGGAGAAACCCATTCTGGGACAGAGGGAAAAGATAGGGGTCTAGAGAGGAGAAAATGGGTCAGGGAGGAGAGACACAACCTGGGACATGATGGGGTCTGGAGAGGAGAAAAGGGAGTCAGGGAGGAGAGAAACATCCTGGGATATGATGGGGTCTGGAGAGGAGAAAATGGGGTCAAGGATGGGGGACAGGCAGCAGAGCCACATCCCAGAACACAAGGGGAAGATGGGGTCTGGAGATGAGAAAATGGGTGAGGGTCATGATGGGGTCTGGAGAGGAGAAAATGGGTCAGGGATGGGGGGACAGGCAGGAGAGCCCCATCCCAGAACACAAGGGGAAGATGGGGTCTGGAGAGGAGAAAATGGGGTTAGGAAGGGGGACAGGCAGCAGAACCCTGTCCTGGGAGACAATGGGGTCTGGAGAGCAGAAAAGGGGGTCAGGGAGGAGAGACACAACCTGGGATATGATGGGGTCTGGAGAGGAGAAAATGGGGTCAAAATGGGGGACAGGCAGCAGAGCCCCATGCTGGGACACAGGGGGAAGATGGGATCTGGAAAGGAGAAAATGGGTAAGGGTCATGATGGGGTCTGGAGAGGAGAAAATTGGGTCAGGGAGAGGGGAAAGGAAGCAGAACCCCATCCTAGGACAGAGGGGAAAAATGGGGTCTGGAGAGGAGAGAAGGGGGTCAAGGAGGAAAACCAAAAGCTGGGATATGATGGGGTCTGGAGAGGAGAAAAGGAGGGTCAGGGAGAGGGGAAAGGCAGCAGAGCCACATCCCAGAACACAAAGGAAAGATGGGGTCTGGAGAGGAGAAAATAGGGTCAGGGAGAGGGGAAAGGAAGCAGAACCCCATCCCAGAACACAAGGGGAAGATGGGGTCTGGAGAGGAGAAAATGGCTGAGGGTCATGATGGGGTCTGGAGAGGAGAAAATGGGGTCAGGGAGAGGGGAAAGGAAGCAGAGCCACATCCCAGAACACAAGGGGAAGATGGGGTCTGGAGAGGAGAAAATGGGGTTAGGAAGGGGGGGGACAGGCAGCAGAATCCTGTCCTGGGAGACAATGGGGTCTGGAGAGCAGAAAAGGGGGTCAGGGAGGAGAGACACATCCTGGGACAAGGGAAAGATGGGGTCTGGAGAGGAGAAAAGGGGAGTCACAGAGGGGGCACGGGGAGCAGTGCCCAGGGCTGGAGTGGAAGGTGAGGTCTGCAGGGGTAAAGGGTGGGCTCAGGGAGCAATCCCCCTGCCTTGGGGATTTGGGCAGAAAATGAAATCTGGGGGCTCACAGGGGGACAGGCAAGAGCCCCCCACCCAGCTGAGGGTCTGGGGGCAGGGGTGGGCTCTGGGCAGACTCACCAGTGGTGCTCCTGAGGCAAACCTCACGCAGAAACTCCTTGTGCTTGGTCAGGTGCTTGTGCAGGGCTTTCTCCCGGATGCCACGTGGGGTGCAGCGCCCGTGCCACAGCCTCCAGCTCCTCGGGGTCCCTCAGCCACCACCAGCCACTCTGCATCTCTGCAAGGCCAATGCCACAGCTCAGCACCGTGCCAGGGGCGGCACCGGGCGGGTCCCGGGGGTGCCGGCTCTCACCGGTGGGCACCGGCTGCTCCGTCAGCTGCGTCAGGTATTTCTGCTCCATCTGCTTGAAGAATTTGGTGGGGGGTCTCCCTCGGCGTTTGGGCTGTCCTGGCACGTCCTGGAGCTTTTCCAGGCCGCCCTGGCTGCGGGGGCAGGCGCCGTGGGCCCTGGGGCCGGCGTGCACCGGCGTGGAAGCGAGCAGGGGAGCTGTGGGGTCGTCTGAGGGGAGGCCGTTCAGCTGGAGGGACAGGGGGAATGTCACAGAAAACAGACAGGAAATTATAAAATATTCTGCTTGGGAGGGAGACACACAAGGATTTGTAACAGCTGGATCCTCAGCACCTGAATTCTGCACCCCCTCCCCAGTCCTGAAGCCCCTTAATCCCACAGCCCCTTAATCCTACAAACCCCAATTCTTCAATCCCCCAACTCTGCAGCCCCTCAATCCCACAGCCCCCTAGACCTACAAACCCAAATTCTTCAGCCCCCCAACCCTGCAGCCCCTCAATCCCACAGCCCCCTAATCCTACAAACCCCAATTCTTCAGCCCCATCAACCCTGCAGCCCCTTAATCCCCACAGCCCCCTAATCCTAACAAATCCCAATTCTTCAGCCCCCCAACCCTGCACCCTCTCAATTCCACAGCCCCCTTATCCTACAAACCCCAATTCTTCAGCCCCATCAACCCTGCAGCCCCTCAATCCCACAACCCCCTAATCCTACAAGCCCCAATTTTCCAGCCCCCCAACCCCACAGCCCCCCCAAACCCTGCAGCCCCCCCACCCCTGGAGCTGTTTCCCCTTCTCCCCAGCCCATCAAGGCCAGCAGGACTGAGCCCCCTGTGCCACCAGGTCACACAGGGGGTCCCACCCCACACCCTGCAGCCACCCAGGGAGAATCCCCCTGCCCATCCAACCCCTCAGGTTGGGGTGCAGGTGCTGGGTGCAGCCCCCCCACCCCCTGTACCTGCCGTGCTGAGCCCTTGGGGGGCTCCCCCCTGCTCTGGCTGCGGGGGGCTGCGGGGGCTCGTGGCGAGGGCTCGGCCGAGGAGGTAGCGAGGGGGGCTCGGTCGTCACAAGGCGTGCGGGGCAGCAGGTTAAACCAGGGCCCTCTCTTTGCCACAACCTCCGGGGCTCTCTCCTCTTCCTCCTCCTCCTCTTCCTCCTCCATGGGGTCCGAGGGGGCCTCGGGGAGCCCCGTGTCCCCTTTGCCAGGGCTGCTGGCCGGGGTGAGAACCGAGTCCTTGAGCAGGGACGACTGGGTCTGGCTCAGCCAGGACAGGAACGCCGACTGGCTGAGGTCGTGCTGGCTCTGCCCCAGGGGCTCTGGCTCCTCCAGGACGCCGTTGATGGGCACGGGGCAGGGCTGGCAGTGCTGGGCCAGCTCCTCTTTGCTTTTCCGGGGCCTCCCACGGGCACGGGAGGCCGGGGTCGGGCAGCTCGTCCGGCTGGCGACGGGCACGGCGGCCGGTTCCTCCTTCACACGGCGACACCAGCGGCGACATCTTCTCCTCAGGAGGCTCCTGAGCCACCGCCTCAGCTGCTGTGACAGCAGGAGGACCAGCAGGTGAGGTGTGGGTTCCTCTCCCAGCTTTTACATTTGTTTTTCATCCCCTCCAAAAAAGCTCCTTCCCCACTCACCCTCGGCGCCCCTCCACGAAGATTCCGCCCAGGTGGGGCAGGACCCAGTAGCGCCTCCGGAAGCGGTCCTGGCCCAGGGAGGCTGCACGCAGGGTCTGGGAGGAATGGAGCAGCTTCTTGCGGAAGAACATCTGCCTCTGAGGAGAGCAGGGGGCGGTGAGGGGGCTGCAGCCCCCCAGCAGGGCTGAGCCCCAGCCCTCCAGCACCAGCTCACCCTTGGCCAGCTTCTCGATCTGCCGCTCCAGCTCCGGCACGCTGGATGCAGACGTGTCCATCTGGGGAAAGTGTCTCAGTTACCCCAGGTGTGCCAACCACCTCTCCTTTCCCCCTCCCTTTCCCCTGCTGAGTGCTGCCTGCCAATATTGGCATTCCAGAAGGGCCTCAGAGTGATTGGCAAAGTTCAAAAGATGCCTCTCAGCCCTGGGGGACTGAGACTGAGCCTTGAGACCTCCTCTCCTGTTCCTGGTTGGTGGCTCCCTGCCCCTTCCCTGCCCCTCTCCCTGGGGTTAAGAGGAGCAGTAACCTCGGGCTCAGGGAGTTCTGTTGGAGCTGGTGCTACATTCAGAGGCCAGAATAAAGCTCTGGATCCAAACCCTCCAGCAGAACCAACTCCTTTCCTTCACCATCACCTTAAAGCTTCTCCACCAGAGGTAAACCTGAGCTCCTGCAAGCCTGGACTTGTCCCAAGCACCCAGCTGCAATATCCAGCCAGCCAAAAGTGTCTCTGGGGTGAAACCACCACAGCTGCTGCCTTGGTCATGCAGCAAGGGCTGGGCAAGCCCAGGCACGTCCCATTTGGCAATATTGGTATTTAATTCCAATATATTGGCACCCAACATGAGGCAGCTCCATCCTGGGGATGGATCAGTCAGTGACGAGACCCTTAGGTGGCACCCTCACTTTTGCCCCCCACAACAGAGCCTGGAGCACCCCACCTCCTCCTCCCTGCGGGATCTCCTCCCCCGGGTCTCCTCCTCTTCCTCCATCTCCAGCCCCACGTCCTCGGTCAGGCGGGAGCTGCGCCGGCGCCGCCCGTCCTCCAGCCCCGTGATCTCCGACTCAGGACGGCCTGTCTTCTTGGCCAGGGCGACCTTCAGCCTGTCAGGACACAGGTGGAGGTGTTGGTTACCTGTCCCCCCCCTGATTTTTTAAGATTTTCTAAGCCTTCTGATGTTTACGTTCTTGTAGCAAACTTTGTCACGCAGAAAAAGTATAAAATATTCTGCTCTGGAGGGGACCCACAAAGATTATCATACCTGGTTCTCAGCCCCCTAATCCTACAAAGCCCAATTTTTTCAGCCCCTCAACCCTGCAGCCCCTCAATCCCACAGCCCCCTAATCCTACAAACCCCAATTTTTCAGCCCCTCAACCCTGCAGCCCCCTAATCCTACAAACCCCAATTTTTCAGCCCCTCAACCCTGCAGCCCCTCAATCCCACAGCCCCCTAATCCTACAAACCCCAATTCTTCAGGCCCTGAACCCTGCAGCCCCTCAATCCCACAGCCGGATTCTCACACAGCTTTCTGTAAATAACTCATTGTTTTGCATTCTTTCATGGAAGAGGAGAAATTTGATGGACTGTTGGTTTGTCCAGTGTCACAGGAGAGGTGGCACTTTCACCCTCCAATCCACTGTCACTTTTAGGAAACTATAAATGTTGGAGTCAGAAAATAAACTTCCCTTTTTCCTCACACCTGAGAGCAGCGGTGCGTGCGCTCGTGTGGCTTTGTGTCCTAGTGACATCCCCCTGCCCACCCTGAGGCACCTCATCACTCAGAGGGGGTGATGCTGAGGCTGAAAGCAAAGCCCCCTCCCCACCCACCTGCGCAGCCGCCCCTCAATGATCCACTTGTTCTTCCTGTAGTTGGCCATGCTCTCCAAGGTCTTGTCGATCTCACTGCACAACAAGAGACGGGGATGGCTCCAGCGAGCAGGATCCACTCCAGCCCCCCAAACCAGAGGCATTTCCCTGCCCTCCCAACCAGCCCCACCTGATGATGAGGGCGCTGCTGTTGAGCTCGTTGATGAGGAAGACCAGGATGGAGGCTTTGAGCTCGGGGGGCAGCGCCTGGAAGGGTTGGTGCGCAGGCCCTCGCACAGATCCGCGCCCGCCCCGTGCGCCGTCAGGAAGCAGCGCAGCACCTCCGACACCGTGTCCCTGTTCAGGCTGATCTCCGACACTTTCTCCCCCCAGGATCTTCAGGGACTGCCCAGAGCAAAGGGAGAGGTTTGGGGAGTCTCCTCCTTGCCCCCACGGGGGTTTGTCAGGAGGGGGTTACTGCCCACAGGTGCTCCTGGCACAGGGATGGATGGGGGGGGACGACACCCCAAAAGATGCTTGGGGGTGAGGAGGGGGATGGCCACGGGTAAGGAAAGGGAGAGCCCTTTTCTTACTCAGGACAAAGAATACTAAATTTTAATCCTGAATTTAGGATTCTTTGTCCTGAGTTTTGCAGGCACTGACAGCCCCAGCCAGGGGAAGGTGGTGAAAAAAGGGAGAAAGAGAGAAAAAAGGAAAGGGGAGGGAAGGAAAGTGAAAGTGAAAGCAGAGATAAAAATAAAAAGTGGTGGGAAGAAAAGGGAAGGAAAAGAAAGGACAAAGGGGTGAAAGGAAAGGGAAAATGGGGGGAAGAAGAGAAGGGGAAAAGAAAGGTGAAGGTGGGAAAAGGATTGAAAAAAGAAAAGGGAGGGAAAGGAAAAGGGGGGAAAGAAAAGTGGGAGGGAGGAAGAGGAGGGAAGAAAAATGGGTGGGGAAAATGGAAAGGGGAAAAAGAAAGGGAAAAGAAGAGGGAGAAAGGAAAGGGGAAGGGAAAAAATAAGGGAAGGGGGAAAAGGGGTAAAAGGGAAAGGAAGGACTTGTCTGACTTTGGCGGGTCTCACCTAACACCTGGCGGGGAAGGGGGTCTCACATAACAGGGGGGTCTCCCCTAACAGGGGGGGTCTCACCTAACAGGGGGGTCTCACCTCGCAGGGCAGGGGGTCTCACATAACAAGGGGGTCTCACCTGGCAGGGAAGGGGGTTTCACCTGGCAGGAAGGGGGTCTCACCTGGCAGGGAAGGGAGTCTCACCTAACAGGAGGGTCTCACCTGGCAGGGCAGGGGGTCTCACCTGGCAGGGCAGGGGGTCTCACATAACAGGGGGGTTTCACCTGGCAGGGAAGGGGGTCTCACCAGGCAGGGCAGGGGGTCTCACCTAACAGGGGGGTCTCACCTGGCAGGGAAGGGGGTTTCACCTGGCGGGGCAGGGGGTCTCCCCTAACCAAGGGGGTCTCACCTGGCAGGGCAGGGGGTCTCACCTATCAAGGGGGTCCTCACCTGGCAGGGCAGGGGTCTCACCTGGCAGTAGGGCGGCAGCCCCGGGTCGCAGAGCGCCGCCTGCAGCAGCCTCACCAGCAGGTCCTGCAGCTGCCCCGCGCCGGGGGCCGCCCCCAGCAGCCCCTCCTGCAGCGCTCCCAGCGTGGGCACGTCCGTGCTGGCTCCAGCCCCAGCACCTTCCCATAGCTCTGCAGGAAACTCCACCACCGTCAGGCAGTCGGAGAAGGCACGGCTGGGCAGGACCAGCCCCGGGATGCGGGAGAAGGCTGGAAGGGGCTGTGGATCAGGGAGAAGAAAGGGAGGGGGAGTCAGAACCAGCCGGTGGCTCCCTGGGGTGACATTTCTGAGCCCCCCAGCACAGCCCACCTGGTGGTCCCCCAGGCACATGTCCTCGGTGGGTTTCTTTCATCTCCTCCAGGATGAGCTGCTGCCGCCGCCGCTCCTCCAGGCGCCGCTGGGCCAGCAGCCCCTTGTCTGCCTTCCGAGCTCCTTGGCCTTCTTCTCCTTGGGCCTGGCCTTGTCCTTGCCCTTCTCTGGCTTCCCTTCTTCTCCTTGACCTGAGTCAGAGCCCGGATGTGTGTGTGAGGGAAAAAAAAAAAGGTAAGGGGGAAAATCTATTTTTTCATTTTTCATCTCCTCCCTTTGCCCACAGACTCACCTTGGATTTCTTCTTGGCCTCCTTGGTCCTGGGAGCTTTGGCCTCCTGCTTCTGCTTGTTCTTGGCCTGAAGGGAGGACAAGAAGAAATCCAGGGATTTCTCAGGGACCCCCTGCACCAGGGAAACCCCCCCCAATCCCCATACCCGCACCTTCCGCCTCATTTTCTTCTTGATCTTGCTCATTTTCAGCTTGTCCTCCTCACTGAGCACCTCTGGAAGGGGGCACAAAGCGGACATGAACCATGATCCCACCAGGCTGCGTGTGAGGAGCTCCCCACAGGGGATGGCAAGGGGGGGTTACCTTGTGCTTCCAGCCTCTTCAGCAGCCGCGCGTCCGTCTTGCTGAGCAAATCCACCATCCTGACCTTGGGCGGGCGGCCCCTGCCCCGTTTGGTGGCCGGGGGCTCCTTGGCTTTCACCTTCTCGGCGTTGCGGGGCCGGCCGCGCTTGCCCGTGATGGCCTGGATGCGCCCGGGATCTCCTCGGGGCTCAGCTTCACCCACTGCACGCCCTGTGGGCGCAAACCGGGGTCACCCGTGGGCACAGCGAGGAGCTGGGGGCACATGGGGGGCTGAGCAGCCCCCAGACCCACCTCTGGCGTGTCTCTCTCCTCGTAGAAGTCTCCCACGGGCATGCGGGGGCTGAAGCTGAAGTGCTCGCGCCGCACGTCCTGCACCATGTTCCTGCTCAGGTACTGGGGACAGGGAGGAGGAGGAGGAAGGTTGTGAGGAAGCTCAGTCTTCCAGGTTCACCACAGCCTCCATCAGCTGCAATCCCCGGGTTTTTGGGGGGGTTTGTAGCGGGTCAGAACCGCCTCCCTCCCCATAACTTCCCCCAAAATGTCCCAAATATTCAAAATACCTCAAATACCCCAAAAGTCCCAAAACAGCCCAAATACCCCAAATATTCTAAATGTCCCAAATACCTCAATGACCCCAAATGTCCCAAATATCCCAAATACCCCAAAATATTCCAAATACCTCACATATTCCCAAATGTCCCCAAATATTCTCAATTTCTCAAATACCCCAAATGCCCCAAAATATCCCAAATACCCCAAATATCCCAAATGCCCCAAAATATCCTAAATACCCCAAATATCCCAAATACCCCAAATATTCTAAATATCCCAAATACCCCAAAATATCCTAAATATTCTAAATATCCCAAATACCCCAAAATATCCTAAATACCCCAAATACCCCAAATATTTTAAATTTCCCAAATCTCCCAAAAGTCCCAAAATATCCCAATCCCTAAACGTCCCAAATACCCCAAAACATTCCAAATACCCAAAATACCCCAAATATTCTCAAATATTTGGTGTCCCCGGGGGTGGTACCTTGATGACCTCCGGGAATTGCTTCATCCTCTTCCCGCAGGGGCCGTAGTACCAGGTCTCACCCTGCCAGCGATGGTTCCCCTTCTTGATCCGGACCTCCCGCCTCCACCTGGGCACGGCAGCGTCAGCCCGGGGGCCGTGGGGCAGCATGAGGAGGGGACAGGACGAGGGGACAGCAGCAGGGACAGGATGGGGAGGGGACAGCGTCGGGGACAGAGCGGTGGGAGGAGTTGGGGATGGGGACAGGATGGGAAAGGGATGGGAGAGAGGGGGAGGATGGGAAAGGGGTGGGGACAGGAGCAGGATGGGGACACGATGGGGACAGGACGGGGATAGTTTCAGGAGCAGGATGGTGAGATGGGGACGGTAGTTTTAGGGGCAGGATGGGGACACGAGGGGGACACAACAGGGATAATTTCAGGAGCAGGATGGTGAGAAGGGGACGGTAGTTTTGGTAGTTTTTGAGGCAGGATGGGGAGGGGACGGTGGGAGGGGACACCAGAGCTGTGGGGCAGAACGGCTGGAGGGGGAAAGGAACAGGACAGAGGGAATGGGAAAAGGGTCGGGGGCAGCACGGGCGGAGGGGGACGGGAACAGGACAGAGGGAATGGGAAGAGGGCCGGGGCCATCCCACGTACCCGTGCTGCAGCGGGAAGCGCACCTCCTCCTGCGTGGCGATGCGCCGCCGAGGGACATCACCTGCGGGGAGGGGACAGAGGGGACGATGGGCTGGCGGGCGGGGGGCACCGGGGGGGGTCAGCCCAGGCTGGGGGGCGGCCACACCTGCCCCCGAGGCACTCAGCAGGGCCGGCTCCTCGCTCTCTCCCTCTCCCGGCGCGGCCGAAGTCTCCGGGCAGCTGTCGGCAGCCTCCTCCTCCTCCTCCTCTTCTTCTTCCTCCTCCTCCTCCTCCTCCTCCTCTTCAGCAGACGGGGCCGGAGAGTCCGGCTCCAGCGGAGGGTCGAGCTCCAGGGACCCCGAGTCCCGCAGCCCCGCGTGGTCGCCGCTCTTCAGCTCGCCGTTGTCGCCTGAGGAGCCAAGGTCAGGAACGTCACCGGACACGTCACCGGGGCCGCGCGTCCCCTCCCTCCCTGCGCTGCCCGGGGGCCTCGCCGGTGCCACGGAGACCCTCACGGCGCATCCCTCGTGGGGAATGAGGCCGGTGGGGTGACCCCCATGGGGCTCACGGTGCATCCCTGGTGGGGAATGAGGCCGGTGGGGTGACCCCCGTGGGGCTCACGGCGCATCCCTGGTGGGGAACGAGACCCCCGTCCCCTCCCGGTGTGGGGGGCGGCACGTACCGGGCAGGGCGGGCGGCGAGCCGGGGGCATCGAGCAGCGGGGCGGGCTCGGGGCTGGCGGGCAGCAGGCTGAAGGGGCCGGCGTGGAGCGGGGGGCTGGCGGCCAGGTCGGGGGGCTCCTCCAAGGAGGACTTGTCGCTCACCAGCTGCGAGTCGTCCATCGCGTACAAGTCGCCGGTGCCGGGGTCTGGGGAGGGGGGCGAGCACCAGGGTTGGGGGCGCACGGAGCAACATCTCCGCTCAAGGGGGAAATAAGGTGCGTGTGGAGGGGATGAAAAGGCTCCGGCAGCAGAGGGGTTAAAAGGGGTTTGGGTACCCCCGTCTTCTCCTCCTCCCCGCCCCCCCCCCCAGCTCCGCCTCCTCCTCCTCCTCCTCCTCCTCTGGGAAGCGGAGGAGCCCAAAATGGCCGTGGCGATGCTCAGCAGCGCGGAAGTTCAGGCGCTGAGTAACCGCCTCGTCACGGAGCTGGGAAGGACGGGAAGGAAGGCAGGGAAGGAAAAGCCGGCAGCGAGCCGGGGACGCGGGCCCGCCCCTGCCTCGGGAGAGCGCCACGGCCACCGCCGCATCCCCACGGCCACCACGGCATCCCCACGGCCACCACGGCATCCCCACGGCCATCACAGCATCCCCACGGCCACCACGGCATCCCCACGGCCACCGCTGCATCCCCACGGCCACCGCGGCATCCCCACGGCCACTGCAGCATCCCCACGGCCATCACAGCATCCCCACAGCCACCAGCCCATCCCCACGGCCACTACTGCATCCCCACGGCCAGCACGGCATCCCCACGGTCACCGACCCATCCCCACGGCCACCGACCCATCCCCACGGCCACCACGGCATCCCCACGGCCACCACGGCATCCCCACGGCCACCACCGCATCCCCATGGCCACCAACCCATCCCCACAGCCACCGCCGCATCCCCACGGCCACCACGGCATCCCCACGGCCACCGCCGCATCCCCATGGCCACCGACCCATCCCCACGGCCACCACGGCATCCCCACAGCCACCGACCCATCCCCACGGCCACCATGGCATCCCCATGGCCACCGCCGCATCCCCACAGCCACCACGGCATCCCCACGGCCACCACGGCATCCCCATGGCCACCGACCCATCCCCACAGCCACCATGCCATCCCCACGGCCACCACGGCATCCCCATGGCCACCAGCCCATCCCCACGGCCACCAGCCCATCCCCACGGCCATCACCCCATCCTCATGGCCACCACGGCATCCCCACGGCCACCACGGCATCCCCACGGCCACCACCCCATCCCCACACGGGGATGGAGAGGAGCTGGCTCTGCTTCCTGCACAGGGAATGGTTGTGCCCCCCTCGGCATCCCCCCTACCTCTGGCCAGGGACTCGAAGGGCTCCAGGGGGTCCTCGCTGAGGATGTGGGTGTCCTGCAGCCGCGGGGCGATGGGTGATGCCTCCCCCAGGCACCTGCGGGCCCCCTCCGGCCCCAGCGACCCCGTGCCAGTGGCTGTGGCCCCATTGTAGCTGCAGATCTTCAGGTCTGAAGGGAGCAATCGACCAAAAACAGACCCTGAGATGTGATGGGCACAGAGCTGGGGGGATGCCCACTGCTGGTCCCCGTGCTGGGACACCCAGCCCTCCATGGCATGGGGTGGTGACACCCAGCCTGGTTTTATGAGATCCTAACGCCTAGCTGTGAGCGGCCAAACCCCATCCAGGACATTGGGCAGGGGAGTCAGAGCAGCTGGGATTCCCCAAGGAACAATGCCCAACTCCACCAGGATCCATCACCCACCTGCCAGGGCCCCAGCGCCGCATCCCAGAGCTCTGCCAGCCCTCAGGGCTCCTACCTGGCTGTGCCTCCTCCAGCTCCTGGCTGCCCACCAGCCCACCCCCGTTCTCCGTGATGGTGCTGCTGGTGGTGTTGGTGGTGGTGCTGGGCATCTCTTTGGCTGCACCCTCGGCGTCTCCCTGGCTGGGCTCTGGCTCGTTTGGAGCCAGCGGGAAGGGCTGCGTGTCTGAGCTCAGCACGGCTGAGGACTGACCCGTGGCGTAGAATCCCTCGGGCCCGTTCTGCATCAACTCAAAGCTCTGCTCGTGGAAGGAGTCGTAGAGCTCCTGCGAGTCGAAGCTCAGCCCCATGGGCCCCGCGGTGCCGTTGCCCCACAGCTCCTGCCCGGTTGCCCGCAGGTTGGTGCCGTGCCCCGGCGAGGCCGGCCGGGACCCCCCGGCCACGCCGTTGAGGGGGAATTGTCCGAGGTTGGGAGGGCCTCCCCCGTCCTTGAGGCCGCCACCACCGGCGGGTGTGTAGGGTGAGTAGTCCCACAGGCAGTCGTAGGTGCGGAGGGGTTGGGCCCCGGCGGGAGCAGAGCCGGGTGAGAAGGTCCCTGAAGTACCGGGGTGGGATACAGTAGAGAAGCCATTGACATTCATGCCCCCGTTCAGACCTGAGGGAGGGAGCAGAGGGAGGTCAGCACCTCTCCAGTGGGGTTGAGGATGGATCAATGGCCAGGCAAGGGCAGCACTGCTGGTGTTTCCCCCCTCCCCATGGCTGGAGAGAAGCAGGGAGGGAGGGAAAGGGGGGGAGCTGCACGATCCCCGTTTGCCAAACTTGCTCTGCCACAGCACTGAGGTAAGCGCCATGGGGTCTCTCCAGTGGGTTTGAGGATGGATCAATGGCCAGGTGGGGCAGCTGCCAAAGCACTGCTGATGTCCCCCCCACATCCTCCCTGGAGAGAAGCACGGAGGGAGGGAAAGGGGGGGAGCTGCACGATCCCCGTTTGCCAAACCGGCTGTGCCAGCATTGGGCTGAGCACCGTGGGGTCTCTCCAGTGGGGTTGAGGATGGATCAATGGCCAGGTGGGGCAGCTGCCAAAGCACTGCTGATGTCCCCCCCCACATCCTCCCTGGAGAGAAGCAGGGAGGGAGGGAAAGGGGGGGAGCTGCACGGCCCCATTTGCCAAACCGGCTGTGCCACAGCACCGAGCCGAGCGCCCAGGGGTCTCTCCAGTGGGTTTGAGGATGCATCCATGGCCAGGCAGGGCAGCTGCCAAAGCCCTGCTCGTGTGTCCCCCCCTCCCCATGGCTGGAGAGGAGCAGGGAGGGAAGGGGGGGGAGCTGCACGGTCCCCAGATCCCCGTTTGCCAAACCGAGCGCCGCAGGACGCCGGGGATTAGCCGAGCTTGGCAGGGCTGTGCCGGATCAGCTGAGCGGCCAAATCCACGCACAGCCCCGGGGCTGGCACGGATGCTTTTCTAGGCCAAGGTGGCGGCAGGGAGGCACAGACCCCGGCCCTGGCCCCCCGTGCTGGAGCTGCTGCTGGCCATGGCTCCTCCATCCCCCTGTCCCTGCAGCTCCACCATCCCTGAGTCCCCTCTGGCCCCACGGCCACCCCATCCCCCTGTCCCTGCAGCCATCCCATCCCTGCAGCCCCTGTATCCCCTCCAGCCCTCTGTCCCATCCCTGAGTCCCCTCTGGCCCCACGGCCACCCCATCCCTCTGTCCCTGCAGCCCTCCTATCCCTCTGTCCCCTCCATCCCTCTGTCCCTACAGCTCCTCGATCCCTTTGGCCCCACAGCCACCCCATCCCTGCAGCCCCTCCATCCCTGTGTCCCCTCGGTCCCTGCAGCCCTCCCATCCCTCTGTGCCCTCCATCCCTCAATCCCTGTGTCCCCTCTGGCCCCACAGCCCTTCCATCCCTGCAGCCCCTCTGTCCCTGTGTCCCCCCTGGCCATCCCATCCCTGTGTCCACTCTGTCCCTGCGTCCCCTCCATCCCCGTGTCCCCTCTGCCCCCGCAGCCACCCCTGTCCCCGTGGGGTCACTCACTTTTCCCTTGCTGGGGGAAGCTGAGCGGGGAGCTGTGGGCGAAGGGGGAGTCCCCTGAGGCAGGCGTGGGTTTCGGTCCTGAGGCAGCGGGTGCAGAGGAAAGGCCAGTGAAGTTCAAATGGTTGTTTGTTTCCATTTCTGCAAACAAGGGGGACAAGATGGGGTCAGTCACTGGTGTGGACTGGGGTGGCCACTGTGGCGACCCACCCACCACTGACCCTCTCCCTGTGGTCCCCAGCCTGGGGAGGGTGAGCAGTGACACTGAAGCCCCCCCAGGGCTGAGATGCCACCTGGCCCAGGCCCAGGCACCCCAGCTGGAGGAGCTGGCACCTGCTCGAGCACAGCCTGTCACCCCAGGGACAGCCATCACCAAGGTGTCACCTCCGTGTGCCACCATCCCGTGGCTGCTCCTGGGCTCCCAGCCAAGGACCACAGAGACCCCCCCAAAGCAACTCTGTGACCCCAACAGGAGCCAGCACAGCCAATGCTCCAGGCACAGCAATGACCCTGTGGTGACAAACAGTGTCCCCCCCTCCCCAGGGTGGAGGGGACCCCACACCCCATTCTCCAGGCACAGCTCCAGGGTTTGAGGCTGGGCTTTGTTGGGAGCTGAAACCCCAGTGCTGGCTCGGGCAGGAGCCTGATGAATTCATCCCCCAGGAACCCCAAATGTTCCCTCAAACCCGAGGCCTGTGGCCCAGGAAGGATCCTGGTGACCTTCATCCCCCAGGAACCCCAAACCCTCCCTCAAACCCAAGGCCAGAAGGAGGGATCCTGGTGACTTTAATCCCCCAGGAACCCCAAACACTCCCTCAAACCTGAGGCCACAAGGAGGGATCCTGGTGACTTTAATCCCCCAGGAACCCCAAACACTCCCTCAAACCTGAGGCCTGTGGCCCACGTGTGATCCTGGTGAATTCATCCCCCAGGAGCCCCAAATGCTCCCTCAAACCCGAGGCCTGTGGCCCAGGTGGGATCCTGGTGAATTCATCCCCCAGGAACCCCAAACACTCCCTCAAACCCGAGGCCTGTGGCCCAGGAAGGATCCTGGTGATCCTGGTGAATTCATCCCCCAGGACCCCCAAACCTGAGGCCACAAGGAGGGATCCTGGTGGGTCCATCGTCCAGGAACCCCAAATGCTCCCTCAAACCCGAGGCCTGTGGCCCAGGAAGGATCCTGGTGACCTTCACCCCCCAGGAGCCCCAAACACTCCCTCAAACCCACAAGGAGGGATTCCGGTGGCTCCGCCTCAGGGTGGGACCGGAGGGAACTGAGGGCGCCGATGCCCTGCAGGCCCAGCAGATGAGGAGGGAGCCCCCAGTGCTGGTGGGGACCCACAGGGACACCCTAGGGAGCTGCCACCACCGGCTGTGCCACTCTTGCCACCGGCCAAGGCGGCGCCGACCTCTCCGGAAGGGCCAAGGCCGCCGCGCTCGGCACTTCAGCAGCGATGGTGGCAGAGCCCGTGTCGAAACCCGGATTTCATCACACCCTCAGCTGGTGCCCTGGCAGGGGCCGCAGGGGCCACCAAAGCCTGGCCAGGGCCACCGGGTGATTCATCCACCGGAGGAACCCGTATGGGCGGTGACGCAGCCGCCGCCGCCGCCACACAACTCCCGGCCGAACCGGGATGGACCCGGGGCCGCCTCCCCTGAGGCCTGAACCGGCCTCTGGCCTGAGCCAGCTGGAAGCCCCGGGCGTGGGGACACTGTGGGGACACCGGGGCTGGATAAGGAAAAGCCTTTCCGGTCCCACCCCGTGTGTGATGTGCCGGCCAGGAAGGCGCTGCCGGCTCTGGAGGTCAGAGCAGGCCGAGGGTTGTGCCAGAGCCACCGAGGGTTGTGCCAGGGCCACCGAGGGATGTGCCAGGGCCACCGGGGCAGGTGGAGGCTGCAGGTGGCACACGGAGGTGGACTGGGATGGTTTGGGAACGTGGGGAAGGGGCTGGGGGAAAATGAAAGCAAGGTGGGAATGTCAGCCTTGCTCCAGGGTGGCAGGCCTGGCAGAGGGCAGAGCCGGCCTTGGCACTGCTGGGAGCCCGGCCAGCGCCAGGACACCACCATCCATGGCCATCCACGGCCATCCATGGCCATCCCTGGCCACCCAAGGCCACCTGTCACCTCCCACCCTCACCGGGGCTCCCGTGGCCCCGCTCCCCCCGCCCTGAGTAGGGAGCTGAAACTGGGCCACGGCGAGAAACCGGAGCCGGGCACGGTGAGGAGGGCGAGGGGCAGGAGAGCCTCGGATGGCGGCACCGAGGGGAGCGATGGTGGGTGACAAGGTGGCACCGAGCTGACCCCGCCACACCGGGCACGGCCGACGTGGCAGCGCCGCCCGCCCGGTGTCAAACCCGGTGGCAGCGGCACCACCGGGCCCTGGGATCCCCGCGGGGACACCGGGGCTGTCCCCGGGAGCTGAGCTGGGGAGGGGGGGGGGACAGAGCTCCAGGCTGGAGGGGATCTGTCGGTGCCGTGGAGCCGGTGCCGTTCCCCGGTGCCTCCCCGGTTGTGCGGCCCCGGTGGTGGCACCGGGAGGCCCCGGGAGCGTGACGCGACCTGATTAAAAAGGACGTTTCAAAAACAACGAGACGCAACAACCGGCTGCCATTTCCCGGCCACTTCCTGCGGGCACGGACACACCGGGGGGACACGGGACCGGTCCCCCCGCGGTCCCGCAGAGCGGCGGGGACCCCCCGGTCCCTGCGGCAAGGACACCCCCAGACCCCTCGCCGGGTCTCCGGGGATGCGGGGCTCGGTGTCCGCTGCAGGAGGGTCCCGGTCCCGCTGGGGCGGGGGGGACACGGCCGGGCGGTACCTGAGGGGAGGGGGCTCCCCCCGAGCTCCGGGACGGGGCTGCGGGGGAACCGCACCGGGCACCGGGAACGGGGCTGGGGCTCCCCGCGGGTCTGGGCCCTTGGCCGCTGCACAGGGAGGGGAGCAGGGGAGTCACCGGGAGCCGGTAACGGAGGAGAAGGAGGGGGGGTCACGCCACGGAACCGGGATGCGCAGGGGGAAGCGGGGGGAGAGCACGGCGTCTCACCGAGGTCAGGAAAGGGGAGCGGGGTGCCGCCGCCGCCGCCGGGCCCAAACCGCCTCAACCGACCCTCCCACCCCCTCGCTGCCTTCACCCGGGGCCGTTAACGGCCCGTTACCACCCGGGCCCCCCCTTCTCCTCCGCCGCGACCCCGCACCTGGCAGGCGGCGGCGCGGGCCCGGCTCAGGCGGCGCGGGGCGGGGAGCGGCTCGGCATGGCGCGGCCCCTCCGCCGCACCGGGCCGGGCCCCTCCGCTCCGATCCGGTACCGGGAGCCGGGCCGCGGAGAGCCGAACCCGCGGCCGCGGCAGGAAGCGCCTCGCGCCGCCGGGCGGTCCCGGGACCGCCCCCGTCCCGTCCCGTCCTCCTCCTCCTCCCCCCCCCCACCCCCCCCTCTCCCCGTCCCCTCCGCCTCCCCCCCCCCCCCCCCCCGCACGTCACGGCGGCCGCAGTGGCGTCACCGGGAGCGGCGCCGCCGTGGCGTCACCGGGGGCGGGCGCGCGCCCACGTGGGAGGGGGATCCCCGCCCCCGGCGGGGTCAGGGCGGGGGGAATCCCCACGCGGGGACGCCCCCCCACCCCCCTACCCTGGCTCCGGGACCCCCGGCTCCCCCCGGGGCTCCCCCACCCCGTACCGGCACCTCCCGGGAACGTCCCCCCCGTTCCCCCCCCCGCGTTCTCCCGTTCGTTCCCCCCCTCGCTCCCCGCAGCCCCAGCGCGACCCCCGGGAACGGCGGAGCACCGGGGACCGGGACCTCGCAGGGCACCGGTGCTGCCCGGTTCGGCCGCGGGGACACCGGCCCCCCCCAGCTCCCCCCGGCCCCCGGGATCCCCGGTGACGTCACGCGGCACCGGCCGGGCCGCGCTGCGCAGGGCCCGGGGGCGACACCGGCTCCGGGGGCGGCGGGAGGAGAACGGGGTCCCGGTGCGGGGGGGGCTGTCCCGGTACGGCCGCAGTGGAAGGCGGAGGGGGGGGGGGGGGTGTCCCTTCCCGGTGCGGGGCAGCGGAGCCCGGTGCGGGGGTTCCCCGCCTGGACGAGGCTCCCGGGGGGTTGGGGAGGTCCCGGTACAGAACCGGGGGTCCCGGTGCAGCTGGGCCGGTCTCAGGGGGTCCCGGTACAGATGCGGGGGTCCCTCTACAGCCATCCCAGCCCCGTAGGGGGTCCCGGTAGGTGCCGGTATCCCCGTTCGCGGGTCCCGTCCTGCGCGCTGCGTACCTGGGGGGGCGGCGGGGGCGGCCCGCAGCAGCCCCGGTGCCCGCCCGGCCCGGTGCGCTGCGGTGCCGGTGCCGGTGGCGGAGCCGGGCGGGGCGCAGGTGCTCCCGGCCCCGCGTGATGTCAGCGACCGCCGCCGCCCCCTCCGCCACCGGGGCCGCGCCGCCATTTAAAGGGACCGCCGCCCTCCGTGGGGTGGGGGGGGATGGCGGGGGACACCCCCCAAACCGGGGCCGCGCCGCGGGACCAGCGGCTGCCACCCCCGTGGGGACACCCCCGGGACCCCGCTTCGCCTCCGTGGGGTTGAGCAGAGCCCGACACCGGGAGGGCACCGGGGGCGCACCGGCGGAGCAGTGCGGGGGGGGGGTCGGGACGGAGGTGGGGGTGTTCCCGGTACCCTCGGGGGATGTCCCCCAGCCCCGCACCGGGAGAAATCGGGGCGGAACGGCCCCACGGGACCCCGGGGACAAAGTGGCAGCTGCCGGGGCAGGGCCAGGCCGGGGCGGCTCTTTGTGCTGCGAAATGGTGGAGCTGGAGCGGCGCGGGGGGGCGGGGGAACGCCGGGGATTGGGACAGACAGACAGACACAGGGCTGGGCACCAGCATCTGTCACCCCCCGCGCTGTCCCTGCAGCACAGAGAGGAGCAGGTTCCTCCTCTCCTGGAGACCCCACAGGACAAAGGGGAGCCCCCAGCGCTGGGGGTCCCTGCCCTGGAGCAGAACCCAGCACAACCCCCCCATGGAGGGGATCCTGGGGGGCTCCCAGGACTTGGATCCCTGCAGGCCCCCCGAGAGCAGGAGCCAGAGCACACAAAGCCTGCAAACGTTTTCAGCGATGTTTTTATTGGAAATGTTAAATACTGGGGGTCCGGCCCCAGCGGAGCCGGGTTGGGGGCGTTCAGGGGGGGCTCAGGCGTGTTCCTCTGCCAGCTTCTCTGCCTTGGCCACCGCCTCCTCGATGGGCCCCACCATGTAGAAAGCCTGCTCAGGCAGGTGGTCATATTCACCTGGGGGACAACAACGTGTCAGGGGGGAGTGGGAGGCTCAACCAGGCTCCCCCAGACCCCCCCTCTGAGGGCCACCTCACCTGCCAGGATCTGCTTGAAGCCCTTGATGGTTTCTTTGAGCGGCACCAACTTGCCCATGTGGCCGGTGAAGACCTCGGCCACCTGGAAGGGCTGGGACAGGAAGCGCTGGATCTTGCGGGCTCGGGCCACCGTCAGTTTGTCCTCCTCGGACAACTCATCCATGCCCAGGATGGCGATGATGTCCTGCAGGGACTTGTAGTCCTGGGGAGGGGGGGGGACACAGGGGGTGAGCAGGCACAGGTGATGCCCCCACCCAAACGCCCCACCTGAGGGAGGGGCTGCCCCAACTCCCTCACCTGAAGGATCTTCTGCACACCCCGAGCCACGTCGTAGTGCTCGGGCCCCACGATGTTGGGGTCCATGATGCGGGAGGTGGAGTCCAGGGGGTCCACGGCGGGGTAGATGCCCAGCTCAGCGATGGCACGGGACAACACCGTGGTGGCATCCAAGTGGGCAAAGGTGGTGGCGGGCGCAGGGTCAGTCAAGTCGTCAGCTGGCACATAAATAGCCTGGGGACACAGAGAGGGGACAGGTGGTGACAGGTAGGTGGCACAGCTCCCCGGGAAGCCGGGGGTGGTCCTGCCCTCACCTGCACGGAGGTGATGGAGCCCTTGCGTGTGGTGGTGATTCGCTCCTGCATGGTGCCCATGTCAGTGGCCAGCGTGGGCTGATAGCCCACGGCCGAGGGGATTCTGCCCAGCAGGGCTGACACCTGTGAGGGGACAGAGCGTGAGGGACAGAGCACGAGGGGCCGGGCAGGTGGGGGACAGTGCAGTGCCCTGTGCCCAGCACACACCTCGGAGCCAGCCTGGGTGAAGCGGAAGATGTTGTCGATGAAGAGCAGCACGTCCTGACCCTCCTGGTCCCTGAAGTACTCGGCCACCGTCAGCCCTGTCAGGGCCACCCTGGCACGGGCACCCGGGGGCTCGTTCATCTGCCCGTACACCAGGGCGACCTGCGGGTGGGACAACGGTGTCAGCACGGTGGCACTGCCACAGCTGGCACTAGGTCAGGGGACCCAGAACCTCCCCTGCTGGCCCTTCCTCAGGGTGTCTGCACACCTTGGAGGTGGCATCTTTGAGGTTGATGACCCCAGACTCGATCATCTCGTGGTACAAGTCGTTGCCCTCGCGGGTTCTCTCGCCCACCCCGGCGAACACCGAGTAACCACCGTGGGCCTTGGCCACGTTGTTGATCAGCTCCATGATCAGCACAGTCTTGCCGACTCCAGCACCTCCAAACAAACCTGGGAGGAGGGGAAATAAAGGTTCTGCTGAGCCCCAAAGCCAGCCTGGCTGCCCACAGGGTCTCCCTTCAGCTCTTTCCTCCTCAGATGTAAAAAGCGTTGCTTCAGCAAGCTCAGGAGAACGAAAGTCATGGAGTGAATCATCAGTGAAGGAAAAATTCCCCAGAGGAACTGTTGGAAATCCCAGAGGTACCATCCCCAGACCCAGCCCTGCTCTGGGGGTCACGTACCAATCTTGCCACCCTTGGCATAGGGAGCCAGCAGATCCACGACCTTGATCCCTGTCACCAGGATCTCCTGCTCCACACTCATCTCCACAAACTCAGGGGCCTCGGCGTGGATAGCAGCAAACCTGCAGCAGGAAAAGGGGAGGAAGGGAGTGGGCAGCTGCTCTGAGCCCCCCAGCTTGGGGGCTGGCAGGGGACAGTCCCTGCTGTGACCCAGAAGAGCCAGAGCCACCTCCCTGCTCACACCTGGGGTGCCCTCCAGCCTCTCAGCACTCACTGTTTGGTGGTGATGGGGCCCCTCTCGTCGATGGGTTCCCCAATGACATTCATGATCCTGCCCAGCGTCTCAGGGCCCACGGGGATGCGGATGGGAGCACCAGAGTCCAGAACCTTCTGTCCCCTCACCAGCCCTTCCGTACCGTCCATGGCAATGGTGCGCACGGTGTTCTCCCCTGTCGAGGCCCAAGGACAGCAAAGTCACCACAGCGTCCTCAGGCTGACCCTGGGGACAGCTGCTGGTGGCTTCCCCAGGCCCTGCCAAGGGGACATTCTGCTGGGAAAAGAATCAAGAGGAGCAGCAGGAATAAAATAGCCCTGAGGAAAACTGAGCCGTGCAGTCACAGCCCTCGGGCAGCCATTTTCCTCCTCCTCCTCCTCCTCAGATTGAAATCCTTGGCTTCAGCAAGCTCAGGAGAACGAAAGTCATTGACAACATCATCACAGGAGGAACCCCCCCTCCCATCCCCAGCTGCTCACCCAGGTGCTGAGCCACCTCCAGCACCAGCCGCGTCTCCCTGCCCTGCACCTCAAGGGCGTTCAGGATGGGGGGCAGCCCCTCATCGAACTGCACATCCACCACGGCGCCGATGACGGCCACGATGCGGCCGGTGGAGGAGCCGGCCTTGGCGGCAGGGGCTGCCTGGGCGGCATAGTCCCGTCCTGCGGGGGGGAGAGGGACGGGTCAAGGTCGGCCGGGGCACGGCAGCTCCGTGCGGGTGCGGAGATGGGGCTGCCCTGCAGGCCTTGGGGTGTGCCCGAGACCCCTGAACCTCCCTGGGTGCACCCAGGACCCCCTGAACTGACCATGGATCCCCACACCACGCTCGGTGCACCATGAACCCACCCACGCCCCTCCTCAGTGCGGCCGGGACCGCTCTGGGTGCACCCGGATCCCCTCAGCGCTACCAGGACCCCCTGAGCCCCCACCCCTCAGCGCTACCAGGGCCCCCGGTACACCCGCAGTCCATGCAGCCCCCCACGCCCACCCCCGGGGCCGCAGCTCCTCTGCCGCAGCCCATCCGCTCGCCCTGCCCGCTTGGCTTGGCACGGCACACCCCACCCCGGTACCGGGGCCCTGAGCACCGGCACCCCCGCGTAGGCCCCAAGGTGACCCCGGCCCGCCCCACACTCACGCGCCCCGACGGCGACAGCCGGGGCGGCCCCGCGGCCGAGGAGCAGCGGGAGGAGGTCCCGGCCCGGGGCAGCCCCGCGGGGCAGCAGCGGCCGGGCCGCGGCGGCGGCGGCGGCAGCGGAACGACCCGCGAGCCCCAACATGGCGGCGCCGACTGAGCCCCGCGTCCCGCCCGCCCCTCACGGCCCCCGCGGGGCGGGGCCGCCGAGCCGTGCGTCACCGCCGCACCGCGCGCCCATTGGCTGCTCCGCCGAGAGGCGCCGCGTGAATTCGCGCTCTCATTGGTCTTTGCGATGCGGCGCCCGCGCTGCGCCTCGTCGCCATTGGGTTCTGGATCTATCAATCAAAACGCGCTGCGGCCTGATAGGGTGGTGTGGTGGGAAGAGGCGTGTCCCGGGCGAAGGTCAGCGGAAGTGGCGGCGCACGTGTCCCGGGCTTGTCCTTGGGCGGGCGCCGTGACCGCGGCCGAGGCCGCACCGGGGCCGTGACGGGCCCGCCTCCACCCCCTGTCACAGCACCGCCCCGAGGGGCCGCCCCTCACCGGGCCCGTGTCCGCCCCGCACGGCCGAGGGTCACAGCACCGCCCCGTCCGGGCACCGTGTCCGCCTCACGGCTTCGGTGTCGCTGTAGTGCCCCCGGAGTCGCCCCGGTGCACCGGCTCCTGCCTTCTCCCCGAGGCCCAACCCGCACCCTATCGCTCCCCCCCCGGGGATCGCCGCAACATTTCTCCGCTGTCCCCCAAGGGATGGGGTCGCACCTGAGGGGAACCTGAGCGCTCTTGTCCCCAGTGGGAGGAGATCCCACATCCCACCCTGCTGACCCCAAGAGAACGGGATCCCACCCCAAATGCCCCAAAAGAAGGGGATCTCACCCTACTGACCCCCTACAGGAGATCCCACCCTACTGAACCCCCAAAAAAGGGGATCCCACCCCATTGACCCCGCATAGAAGATCCCACCCTGAACCCCACCTACTGAACCCCCCAAAAAAGGGGATCCCACCCCACTGAGCCCCAAAAAAGGGGATCCCACCCCATTGACCCCCCCTTTCCCCCACGGCGCTGAGGAATGCACAGGGCCCAGGCCGAAGGGAGAGCCAGGGAGTCTTCAACAGTTTATTAGAAAGAATGCAGACATTAAAAAAATCCCAGCTGCTCTGAACATAAATTGAGGTTTTTCAGCCCGGTTCCACGGTTCTGTCACTTGCTGCCAAACCCACAGTGCAAATACGATTTTGGTCTAAAATGTACAGATTGACAAGCAACAATGTACAGCCAACTCGCACCCCGGGCGAGGAGGAGGAGGAGGAGGAGGAGGAGGAAGAGGTGGAAAAGGTTTGGGGGTCACACCACGGGACCAGGGGCAGCCTCCGCTCGGGGGCTCCAACACCAAAAACCAGAAGAATTTGGAAATTTTTTTTCTTTTTAAACTGAACTTTTTTAAAGTGGGAACAGGAAGGGATGTGCCTCGCCCTGCTGGATTTTATTTTATTTTTTTTTTTTTTTTTAGGGGGGAGCCAATGATAAAGAGTTGGTTTTGTTTTGGGTTTTTGTTCCCGGTATAAATGGACAAAAAAAGGGAGAAAAAAAAAAAAACCAAAAAGCTCATTTAAACCTCTCAGTGTTAATTCAGGGTTCTCCCATTGTAATTGGAGGCAAGGAGGCTCTGTAAACTTTATTGCAACTCTTCTCAATGGATTGCCTACACCTCAATTGGGTTGGTTTGGTGGTTTTTTTATCTCTTTTTTTTTGTTTTTTTTTTTGGAAGTCTGGAAAACGGTTCATGCATAACTGTTATTGCCTCTCGTGGCTTTAAGACCGCCCCGTGCCATGGGACACACCTACCATCAGTGAAGCCATTTAAAATGGACTGAAAATGGGTTAAAGGATGCAGGATCTCCCTTTAGGGCTATCAACTCAGGAATTCTTATCTCAATTATGAAATGTTGTGATGAACTTCTTTCCCCAAAACCCTGAAGACGACGCTTTGCCTTACTCCAGATCTGGCATTTCTAGAGGGGAAAAAAAAAAAGAGAATTAATGGTTTTAGGGAAAAAAAAAAAAAAGAGAATTAATGGTTTTAGGGAAAAAAAAAAAGAGAATTAATGGTTTTAGGGAAAAAAAAAAAAAGAGAATTAATGGTTTTAGGGGAAAAAAAAAAAAGAGAATTAATGGTTTTAGGGTTGTTTTGTGGGTTTTATTTTTATTTTTTTTTTCTGCTTGGTTGGTTTTTAAAAGCTCCCAGGGCATTATTATGTCACAAGGCACACGAGCAAGACGACCTGGCCTCCAAGCAAGGAGCTCATGGGGCATTTTGGGGCCCTTCCCAAGGGCAGATTGTGCCAGAGCCACCCTGAGCACGTGCTGCTCCTAAAGCCAAAGCCTCCCTGGGACTGCAGCAGCCTGGCAAGGTCAAAGTGGTATTTGGGGCTTGTGTGGAGAGGCTTTCCCAGATTAGATTTGTCTGCCAGGGCTGGCTTTAGCTGGTGCACAGGATGAACATCTGCTGGCTCTGTCCTTCAGCAGGTGTGTGAGGGGGGGAAAACAACAAAAACAACTGAACTTACTTTCATCATCACTGTCTGGTGAGTCCTGGAAAGGAGAACAAACCAATCTTGAAGTGGAGCACACAGCTCCTCTACCACCCTCACCCCCACCAGCAAAGAAGTTCCCAAATCTGAATTTTGAGGAACTCGGTGAGCTCAGTTTGGCCTCACTGCAGACCCCACAGTGAGCCCAGCACTGCAGACAGGGGAGGGAAAGGGTCTCCCCCAGGTGCCATGCCAGGGTTTGGGGCAATTTCAGCCTTTTTTAGTGCTGAGGGGTGAGTGCAGGGCTCCTGAGGGTGCTCAGCACACCCAATGTACTCACATCGTCTGCCCCATCTACTTCTGGCAAGTCTACGTCGTCGTCTCCTCCCATGTTGTTCATCATCTGCTCACAGACACAAGAGCCACGTTTTGGGGTGAATCCAACCCCACTTTCCACCCTCAGCAATCCTAAACCAACGTCCCCACCCTTAACAGATCAGCTACCCCCATGCAGGAATGACAAAGTGCACAAAAAGCTCGGATTTATCGCCAAAACTCCAAATATTTTTCATTCCCTACCTCAGAAAAACGATCAAAATTGGACATGTCTTCATCTGAATCATCCTCCCAGTCTTTCCAGTTGTTGAAGTCCACGCTGAGCCAGTTGAGCTGCAGCAAGAGCAGGAGTTACTTAAGGACAAGGAATTATTTAAGGACAAGGAAGTGGCTGTCACCTTAGAACAGGTTAACGAGAGCTGCCGTGGGATCAGGAGCAGGAAAATGACCCAAAACTGCTCCAGAATTTGAACATGACCCAAATATTCACTAAATTAAAAGCCAGGGGAGGCAGCAGAAGCCCAGACCCACCTTTGCCCTCTCTTTTGTTAACCTTGGCCATGCCTGACCAGACTCTCCTTTTCGTAAACAACACAGGATGGATCTGTCTGTTCTTTTATGCTTTGATTCCTGAAAAAAAAAAAAACAAGACCAAATATCCATCAGTGCCATCAGGATGGCCTTCACCAGGAACTGCTGACATCCTTCCTTTATCTTCACCTCTTCCCTTATTCCTTGTCCTGGAAAATACCCCCCAGGAGAAGCTTTCCTGGATCTGACTTGGAGCTTTTATGTTTCTATATATTCCTATTTTTTAAGGAATAAAAATCTTGGGAGCAGCCTAAAAGAACAGATGGTATTTTTTTTTTTTAGGATCTCAAAACTAAGGGATGGTTTTGGGTTGGGAAATGACATTAAAAACCCCAAATTCCACCAGCCCAGGTTGCTCCAACATGGCCTTGACCAATTCCAGGCATGGAATATCTGCAATTCCCTCTGGACAAGCATCAAGAGCTCAGGAGGATACTCACATTTGGATCGATATTATTAAAAAGATCGATTTCATTTAAATGTTTAAAGTTATCACTTCCTCCAAGACAACTGCAAGAGAAAAAGAAATCGGCGTTTAGCTCCACAAAATAAATCAGTGTTTAGCCCCAAAAACACCTCACAGAGCAAATCTGCTGCTTCTTGTGCTTGAAATACTCACCTGAACGTGAGTTTGGACTTCTCAAAATTTACATTTACGTCTTTGCTGTCTTCAACACAGAACTCAACAAAGACGTAGTCCCTCCGGTCGTACCACTTTGCAGAGGCAGGCTGCCTGTGGGGGCACAAAGGCAGTGATTTTAACAAGAAATCCAACAAAAAATATCATTTCTGCACCTAAAAGCTGCATTTTGAGCTTCCTGGGTTTTTTAAAGGTGATTGAAGTTGAAAAGAGAGAGTTGGAGTAGAAAGGAATGATGGGTTTGGAATAGAGAGAGATGGAATAGAAAGGAATGATGAATTTGGAATAGAGAGAGAGAGATGGAATAAAAAGGAATTATGAATTTGGAATAAAAAGAGAGAGATGGAATAGAAAGGAATGATGAATTTGGAATAAAGAGAGAGATGGAATAGAAAGGAATGATGAATTTGGAATAAAGAGAGAGATGGAATAGAAAGGAATGATGGATTTGGAATAGAGAGAGAGAGATGGAATAGAAAGAAATGATGAGTTTGGAATAAAGGGAGAGAGATGGAATAGAAAGAAATGATGAGTTTGGAATAAAGAGAGATGGAATAAAAAGGAATTATGAATTTGGAATAAAGAGAGAGAGAGATGGAATAGAAAGGAATGATGAATTAAGAATAAAGAGAGAGAGATGGAATAAAAAGAAATGATGAATTTGGAATAGAGAGCGAGATGGAATAGAAAGGAATGAGGAATTTGGAATAAAGGGAGAGAGATGGAATAAAAAGGAATGATGAATTTGGAATAGAGAGAGAGAGATGGAATAGAAAGGAATTATGAATTTGGAATAAAGAGAGAGAGATGGAATAAAAATGAATTATGAATTTAGAATAAAGAGAAGGAATGATGAGTTTTGGAATAAAGAGAGAGCTGGAATAATAAGAATTGATGAGTTTGGAGTGTGACGCCCCCAGAAAGCTCCTGGGAGGAGCCACTGAAATCTGAGACTGAAATCAAGGTCTCAAATCAGAATTTTGATCAACTTTGAGATGAGCCACTACAGACAGAGGCAGCAGCAGCTCCAGGGGCAGCTTTCAGAGTGGCTTTTGGCAGGCAAAGAGTTAAAACCCAAAGGAAAATTTTTAAAAAAACCAACATTTTTTGGGGGTATTGATACTCTAAAGAATGGATTTGCTATGATTAAGACCTAATTGTGATTCAGGTTGGAGAATCACTGCTCCAAGCTCTTTATAATCTCTCACACTGGGACTCCCATGCACTTTGGAATTGTTTTGCCTTTGCACAACCACCTCAAAAATAAAAAAAGCCAGAGAGCTCCAGAGAATTGCTGTGGTTGGAGAGAAATTTGGAATTATTCAGAGAAATTTGGAATTATTCTCGTTTGGAGAGAAATTTGGAATTATTCTCGTTTGGAGAGAAATTTGGAATTATTCTCCCTTTGCACAACCACCTCAAAAATAAAAAAAAAAGCCAGAGAGCTCCAGAGCAACCTCTGTGTGTTTGCAGAGAAATTTGGAATTTTCAGAGAAATTTGGAATTATTCTTCCTTTGCACAACCACCTCAAAAACCAAAAAACCAAAAACAAAAAAGCCAGAGAGCTCCAGAGCAACCTGTGTGTTTGGAGAGAAATTTGGAATTATTCAGAGAAATTTGGAATTATTCTCCCTTTGCACAACCACCTCAAAAAATAAAAAAATCCAGAGAGCTCCAGAGCAACCTCTGTGTTTGGAGAGAAATTTGGAATTATTCAGAGAAATTTGGAATTATTCAGAGAAATTTGGAATTGTTCTCCCTTTGCACAACCACCTCAAAAACCAAAAAACCTAAACCAAAAAAGCCAGAGAGCTCCAGAGCAACCTCTGTGTTTGCAGAGAAATTTGGAATTATTCTCCCTTTGCACAACCACCTCAAAAACAAAAAAAGCCAGAGAGCTCCAGAGAATTGCTGTGATTGGAGAGAAATTTGGAATTATTCTCCCTTTGCACAACCACCTCAAAAAACAAAACAAACCCAAAAAAGCCAGAGAGCTCCAGAGCAACCTCTGTGTTTGGAGAGAAATTTGGAATTTTCAGAGAAATTTGGAATTATTCAGAGAAATTTGGAATTATTCAGAGAAATTTGGAATTATTCTCTCTTTGCACAACCACCTCAAAAACCAAAAAATCCAGAGAGCTCCAGAGAATTGCTGTGTTTGCAGAGAACTCACCTGCACTGCCCTGTGCTCCTTGGAGCAGGGAAAATGGCTCAGAAACCTCCTCCCCCTGCCAGCCCTGCCCAGGCAATCAGGGAATTCTGCATCCAGAGCCTGAATTCGGGAATTCTGCATTCCAGAGCCTGAATTTGGGAATTCTGCATCCCAGAGCCTGAATTCGGGAATTCTGCATCCCAGAGCCTGAATTCGGGAATTCTGCATTCATTTATTATTTAATTTATTTAATTAATTGATCCGAGTACACCGTTATTTAATTTATTTATATATTATTTAATTTAGTTATTATATTTGTTGTTTTATTATTTATTTAATTAATTTATATAGTATTTAACTTATTCAGTTACTTAATTTATTACTTAATTTATTTATTATTTTATTATTTCTATTATTTATTTATTTAATTATTTTATTTATTATTTTACTCTTATTTAACTAATTTATCCCAATATCCTATTATTTAATTCATTTAATTAATTTATACAGTATTTAAGTTATTCAATTAATTTATTACTTTATTATATTTATTATTATTTAATTTATTTAATTATTTCATTATTTTACTCTTATTTAACCAATTTATCCCAATATCCTATTATTTGATTTATTTAATTTATATAGTATTTAAGTTATTCAATTAATTTATTTATTACTTTATTTATTATATTTATTATTTTATTATTATTTATGATTTAATTATTTCATTATTTTACTCTTATTTAACTAATTTATCCCAATATCCTATTATTTAATTTATTTAATTTATATAGTATTTAAGTTATTCAATTAATTTAGTTATTACTTTATTTATTATATTTGTTATTTTATTATTATTTATTATTTAATTCATTATTTTACTCTTATTTAACTAATTTATCCCAATGTCTTATTATTTAATTAATTTAATTTATCCCAATGTCTTATGATTTAATTAATTTATATATTATTTTATTTAATGAATTTATTTATTATTTTATGATTATTTAATTAATTTATCCCATTATCCCATCTTAGTATCTTCTTTAATTTATTATTTTATTTATTTTATTATTATTTTATTTATTTAATTAATTTATCCCAATATCCTATTATTTAATATATTTAATTAATTTCTATGCTATTTAATTTAATTCATTTCTATATTATTTAATTAATTTCTCTATTATTTCATTTATTTAATTAATTTCTCTATTATTTATTTAATTTATTTCTCTATTATTTAATTTCTTTAATTTATTTCTCTATTATTTATTTAATTAATCTCTCTATTATTTCATTTCTTTAATGGATTTTGAATTCAGCCTCCAGCTCCAGCTCTTCCAGGGTGGTGAAAACCTCCCAGCAGCATTTCAGGCAATGTTCAATGTTCATTATCCCCTCATTCAGGTGAAGTGCAGCAGCAGAGCAGCAATTTTCTCACCGTGGTATTTTTAAACCCTTCTTGGACACTGATTTTCCTCTTTTGAACGAGGAATTAAAGACTCTCAAGAGGGACAGGAGGATGAGAAATGCCCTGCTCTGTTCCTTTAGTGCTGGGAGACAAAAAAGCCCTGCAGGGACGCTTGGAGTGGTGCTGCAGCTCTGCCAGTGACAGCAATCCCAGTGTCCCTGCCTGGGTGACACAGGGCAAGGGTGGTGGCAACAGCTCCCAGCTCTCAGTGTCAATGGAGACATCTCCAGCCTTCCCTGGGAGGAGATTTCATCCCAGCTGGGAGCTCAGCAGCTCCTCCAGATTGGGGATTTGAGGCACCAAGAGAACTCAGAGTGCTTCCAGAAATTCCCACTCAGCTCACACATCTGAGCTGCAGAGGGATCCCAGGTAAGACTCTGCCATAATTCACATTTCTGAAGCTAAACCTGCCCTGCTTTCCTGGGAATTTACCCCCAGAGTGCTCAGAACCTGGGACCTCAGCAGCTCCACCAGGATTGGGGATTTGAGGCACCAAGAGAACTCAGAGTGGTTCCAGAAATTCCCACTCAGCTCACACATCAGAGCTGCAGAGGGATCCCAGGTAAGACTCTGCCATAATTCACATTTCTGAACCTACATCTGTGCTGCTTTCCTGGGAATTCACCCTGAGAGTGCTCAGAACGTGGGACCTCAGCAGCTCCACCAGGACTGGGGATCTGAGGCACCAAGAGAACTCAAGAGTGGTTCCAGAAATCCCACTCAGCTCACACATCAGAGCTGCAGAGGGATCCCAGATAAGACTCGTCCATAATTCACATTTCTGAACCTGTATCTGTGCTGCTTTCCTGGGAATTCACCCCAACACATGTGGTGGCCTCAGCAGCTCCACCAGGATCGGGGATTTGAGGCACCAAGAGAACTCAAGAGTCGTTCCAGAAACCTCACTCAGCTCACAGGTCCAAGCTGCAGAGGGATCCCAGACAAGGCTGACTCAGCCATAATTCACATTTCTGAACCTAAACCTGCCCTGCTTTCCTGGGAATTCACCCCAAGACACGTGGTGGCCTCAGCAGCTCCACCAGGATTGGGGATTTGAGGCAAAACTCACAGCAATCCCAGAAATCTGAGCTGCACAGCAGAGAGATCCCAGTTAAGTTTTACCCGGCCATAATTCACATTTCTGAACCTGTATCTGTGCTGTTTTCCTGGGAATTCACCCTGAGAGTGCTCAGAACCTGGGACCTCAGCAGCTCCTCCAGGATCAGGGATTTGAGGAATCAAGAGAACTCAGAGTGGTTCCAGAAATTCCCACTCAACTCACAGGTCCAAGCTGCAGAGGGATCCTAGACAAGGCTGACTCTGCCACAATTCACATTTCTGAACCTAAACCTGCCCTGCTTTCCTGGGAATTCACCCCAAGACACTTGGTGACCTCAGCAGCTCCACCAGGATCAGGGATTTGAGGCACCAAGAGAACTCAAGAATGGTTCCAGAAATTCCCACTCAGCTCACAGGTCCAAGATGGACAGCAGCAAGATCCCTGATGAGTTTTATTCAGCCATAATTCACATTTTTTGAACCTGTATCTGTGCTGCTTTCCTGGGAATTCACCCCAACACACGTGGTGGCCTCAGCAGCTCCACCAGGACTGGGGATTTGAGGCAAAACTCACAGCAATCCCAGAAATCCCACAGCTGAGCTGCACAGCAGAGAGATCCCAGATAAGTTTTACCCGGCCATAATTCACATTTCTGAACCTAAACCTGCCCTGTTTTCCTCGGAATTTACCCCCAGAGTGCTCAGAACCCATGACCTCAGCAGCTCCACCAGGATCGGGGATCTGAGGCACCAACAGAACTCAAGAATGGTTCCAGAAATTCCCACTCAGCTCACAGGTCCAAGATGGACAGCAGCAAGATCCCTGATGAGTTTTATTCAGCCATAATTCACATTTCTGAACCTGTATCTGTGCTGCTTTCCTGGGAATTCACCCCAACACACGTGGTAGCCTCAGCAGCTCCACCAGGATTGGGGATTTGAGGCACCAAGAGAACTCAGAGTGGTTCCAGAAATTCTCACTCAGCTCAAGGCTACACACACAGCTCCAAGCTGGACAGCAGAGAGATCCCAGATAAGTCTGACTCTGCCATAATTCTGGTTCCAGATTTCTGGAACCTAATTTTCCTAATTCCAAGTTTCTGAACCTAAACCTGCCCCATTTTCCTGGGAATTCACCCTGAGAGTGCTCAGAACCTGTGACCTCCCAGAAACCCCACTCGGCTCACAGGTCCAAGCTGGACAGCAGCGAGATCCCAGGTGAGTTTGACTCAGCCATAATTCACATTTGTGAACCTAAACCTGCCCTGCTTTCCTGGGAATTCACCCTGAGAGTGCTCAGAACCCGTGGCCTCAGCAGCTCCACCAGGACTGGGGATTTGAGGCACCAAGAGAACTCAGAGCAATCCCAGAAATTCCCACTCAGTTCCACACACATCTAAACTGCAGAGCAGTGAGATCCCAGATAAGTCTGACTCTGCCATAATTGTAGTTCCATGTTCCTGGAATTTAATTTTCCTAATTCCAAGTTTCTGAACCTAAACCTGCCCTGCTTTCCTCAGGGAATTCACCCTGAGAGTCCTCAGAATCTGTGACCTCCCAGAAATCCCACTCAGCTCAAGGCTACACACACAAACCTCTGAGCTGGACAGCAGAGAGATCCCAGGTGAGTTTGACTCTGCCATAATTCACATTTGTGAACCTAAACCTGCCCTGCTTTCCTGGGAATTCACCCCAAGACCCATGACCTCAGCAGCTCCATCAGGATTGGGGATTTGAGGCACCAACAGAACTCAGAGCACTCCCAAAATTCCCACTCAGTTCCACACACATCTAAACTGCAGAGCAGTGAGATCCCAGATAAGTCTGACTCTGCCATAATTGTAGTTCCATGTTTCTGGAATTTAATTTTCCTAATTCCAAGTTTCTGAACCTAAACCTGCCCTGCTTTCCTGGGAATTCACCCTGAGAGTGCTCAGAACCTGTGACCTCAGCAGCTCCACCAGGATCAGGGATTTGAGGCACCAACAGAACTCACAGCACTCCCAGAAATTCCCACTCAGTTCCACACACATCTAAACTGCAGAGCAGTGAGATCCCAGACAAGTCTGACTCTGCCATAATTCAGGTTCCAGGTTTCTGGAATTTAATTTTCCTAATTCCAAGTTTCTGAACCTAAACCTGCCCTGTTTTCCTGGGAATTCACCCTGAGAGTGCTCAGAACCTGGGACCTCAGCAGCTCCACCAGGACCACGGATTTGAGGCACCAACAGAACTCAAGAGAGCTCCCAGAAATTCCCACTCAGCTCACACATCCAAGCTCCAGAGCAGTGAGATCCCAGATAAGTCTGGCTCTGCCATAATTGTAGTTCCATGTTTCTGGAATTTAATTTTCCTAATTCCAAGTTTCTGAACCCAAACCTGCCCTGCTTTCCCAGGAATTCACCCCGAGAGCACTGGGAACGTGCTGCAGCTGCCTCTCCTCCTTTTATCTCCTTTTCCAATCTCATCCTCCCAAGGATGGGAGGAGGTTGAAAACCTCCCTGGGAGCTTCAGTCAGGACTCACCAGTTACAACCAGTAAGGCAGGACCTGCTGGAGAGCTCCTTTTTCACATGTCCTGCCCACACGGAGATTCCCAGGAGAGAAGGAGCTCCCAGTGCTCCCAGTGCAAAATCTCCTTTCCAAACCCTGACCCATCACCTTTTACAGCTCCATCCTGCTCATCCAAACCCCGAGGGAGCTCAGCTTGCTGTGCTTATCCAGCACCCATCCGTGGGATTTGGAAAAGAGAAGGGAATTTGAATGTTTCAAAAGGGAATTTAGAATTTAGAGGATTTCTCTGTCCCATCCACCTGGGATTTTGGGGGGATTTCCTGAGCAGCCACAGCCGTCCCTGCAGCTCCTCTGGCTCCTCCAGTCCCCACACTCTGATGGGGAATTGTTATTCCAGCATTGTGGGACAGGTTCTAGAAGGTTCCCAGCTATGTGGAGGCTCAGCTTCACCACAGAGCCCTCAAGGCTCTGTTGGATATCCCTGGATAAATCCTGGTTTCTGGCACCAGTAGAAATCTCCAATCTCCCCATCCGTGGCACTGAGGAAGTTCCCAAATCTCTTTTCATGTTTTCTGTCCCTGTCCTGTCCCATCCTTTGTCTCCTGACAGCTCCTAGAGCTCGAGGACACTGCAAAAAAAAATCAGGCCCTCAACAAGATTTTTCCCCTCCTAGACAGCAAGAAAACCTGTTTTACAAAACGACTTTTCCTTTAATTTTTACACCATGAAAATGTGGTTTTTTCCTCATTAAAAAAAGCCTTATTTTAGATTTTAGACCATTCTGAGCAGATGCAGCAGCGCTGCAGTTTCAGGATGATGAAATCTACAGAAATTACACGAAAAAAACTCCAATTTGATCACAGTTCTCTCACTTTCACTCACATTAAGATGAAGCACCTCCACCGCTCAGGGGTTTCAGAAAAAAAAGTAAAAGCCTGGCTGGGAAAAAGGCACCAAAAACCCATCAATTAATCCTCATTTCAAATTCCTGACAAAAACAAAACCTCAGGAGGTGCTGCTGCCTCCAATTCTTCCAGCCAGGCACGTGGAGGTCACAGAATCATGGAATGGTTTGGGTTGGAAGGGACCTTGAAGCTCATTCGTGTGCAGGGACACCTCCAGGGACGGGGCACACTCTGGAAAATCCATCCCAGTGCCTCACCACACTCAGAGGGAGGAATTTTCTCATTTTTTACCCCCAAAATCTGGTTTGAAACCCTTGTCCTGCCACTGGAGATGTGGAAATGCTGCCTGCAACTCTTCTTTTCCCCCAGCCAATTTTTCCTCTTGGACACACAAAACTCTGCTTGTTCTTCAAGGAACACTCACATCCACCAGAGCTTTGCTTTTGGGTGGCCCCCAAATGAAATTCCCTGGAGAATTCTAAATAAAAAAGGTGAAATTAGGGAGCGCGGGATCCCGCTCGGGATGCACGTGGAGACGAATCCAGCGGCTCACCTGCAGCACCGCGCCCGCCCCGGGGCTTTCCGTGCTTTTCCACCCCTTCCTGAGGGTTTTTTTTCCTCATTTCTCCGTTTTTCACGGAATTCTGGAATGGTTTGGGCTGGAAAAAAACCTTCAAGCCCATCCCGTTCCAAGCCCTGGCCTTGGACGCTTTCAGGGCCAGCGCAAAAGGCAGGGAGGGATTTTAGGGTGAAAATCCCAAGTTTACAAACAGATTCTCTCGCCTGCACGCTCTGGATTGTTCCACGCGTTACTTACCGGGAGTTTTCTGCTCTTTCGGTGGGCACCGACCCGCCGAGAAACGCGCAGCACCCCCCGAACACCCCATTAAAACCCACAGCGGGAGATCCCGCCCGCATCCCGGTCCACCGGGGCCCACACGGGGGCCTCACCCGGTAACCGAGCCCACACGGTAACCGGGACAAAAAAGCCCTCAGGGCCCAAGGTCAGCCCGCGCTCGGCGGCGCCGGGGCGGCTCCCGCGGTAGCGCCGGGGCCTGGCGGGGCCTTCCCGCGCCGCTCCCATCCCCGGGCCTCACATGGCGGATGGCGACGGCTCCGGCGGGCGCTCCTGAGGGGTGCGGAAGGCTCCGGGCGGTGTCGCGGGTTGTGCTTGGGCAGTACCGGGAAGGTACCGGGAGGGTTCCGGAGGGGGGGGGGGGGGGTTCCGGTGAGAGGCTCCGGTGGCGGCTCCGGGCGGGCTCGGGGGCTCTGGCGCGGCCTCGCTCCCACAATGCCCCGCGCAGCGCTCGGCCCGTGGTGACGCAGCAAAATCCCCGCGCGCGCCGCCGCCGCCGCCTCCTCCTCCTCTTCCTCCCTCCCTCACTCCCCTCCCGCCGCCGCCGACCGCGCGTGCGCGGCCCCGCGCGCGCCCCCGCCCCCCCGCGCGCGCCCCCGCCCCGCTGCCCTTCCAGCAGCTTCTGGGCGCGCATGCGCAGTGAGGCGCGGCGACAAGGGGAGAGGGAAGGGAGCTCCGGGACTCCCCCACACCCATTGGGACCCATTGGGACTCCCGGGACCGACCCTGTTGTCCCATCTGGGAGTTTTGGGGTGGAAATTCCCCTCAGAGCCTCCTCCTCTCCGGGCAGTTCCACAGCCTGACCACCTTTCATTCCTCCTCATGTCCACCCTGAACCTCTCCTGGAGAAACTTGGGGCCGTTTCCTCTTGCTCTGGTGTCCCCTGGGAGCAGATTTTGATCCCACCCGGCTCCACTCTCCCGTCAGGGAGTCGTAGGGTGGAAATTCCCCCCTGAGCCTCCTTTTCTCCAGGCAGCTCCAAAGCCTGACCACCTTTTATTCCTCCTGAAATTCCACTCTGACCCTGTCCTGGAGGAATTTGGGGCTCCAGCAGTGCCACAATATATAATACATAAAATAATAAATCAGCCTTCTGAAACATGGGAGTCAAGATTCTCATCTCTTCCCTCGACCCCTGTGACCACAACCTCAGCCCTGATCCTCATCCCCGCCTGCTGCAGGGCCGTGAGGAGCCGCCCTGAAGGGAACCCTGAGGGGATGAAGGGGTGACCCTGCAGCTGGGCCGGTGTCCAGCCAGGCTGTGGGACAGGAAGGAAAGGAGGGAACGGGCAGGTGCTGTTCCAGGATGGGCTATCAGCACCAGGATCTTCCCGGGAGGAAGGCTCCACCCTGAGGCCACAAATCCTAGGGAAAGGCAGGCAGCAAAGCACCACAGAGCAGTGATTTCACCAACAATAAGCCACAACTTTATTAACCGATAGAAATAGTACAAATTTTAAATTTAGTCGTATTTTACTCTTCTCTGAAACACCAAAAAAGGCTCCTCCCTCCGGCGGCTACATCGTCAGTTCCTGTGGGGAGAAAGGGAGTCAGGAGGCAGCTCAGAGGCAGCAGCTCCCCTCAGGGACCCCCCCCAAAAGCTGCTGCCCCCCGGGGCTCACCATTATCGCGTTTACGATGTCGTTACTGTTGTTCTTGAGGGCTCGCACGGCCTTCGCCCGCGACACGTTGGCCTGCGACATCACCAGCTCGATGTCTTTCACCTCCACGCCGGTTTCATCAACCTGAAAGAGAAACAGAGCCCGGGATTGGTGCCATTCCAGGCTTGGGGTTGGATTGGGAGCCAGGAGGTCAGGCCTGCACTGTCAACACCCCCAGGGCAGGGACCTGGTGCTCTCCCTTTGATGAAGGAGAGGAATTTGTGGATTAACCCCACAGAGAGGCTGGGGAAGGCCTCACCTCCTCTTCCTCGCTCTCCTCCTGCACCGTGGGGGTCTGTGTGTTTTCCTGGATGTTGGAAACGGGTTCTCCTTGCACTTTGAACTTTTCAGCAGCTGCCAGCTGAGCCTGCTGGGACAGGTCTTCGATCTGCAGGAGGGAAGAGAAGAAAAGGAGCGAGTGCTGCCAGTCCTGGGCAGTGCCAGCACATTCCCTGGCAGGAGCCACGCAGTGCACAGGTGACAGGAAGGAGAAGCCAGCCCTGCTGGCAGCAGGGTGGGCTCACCTTGGCCTCTCCAAAGACAATGTAGGTGTCTGACGCCGGGCTCTTGTACACGTCTGGCTTTGTGATGACAAACAGGATGTTCTTGGATTTCCGGATGGTGACTCTGGTCACTCCTGTCACCTGGCGAAGGCCCAGCTTGGACATTGCCTGAAAAACACCAGGGAAAGGTCACTGAGGGAAGAAGAGCTCTGGAGCCAGCCCAGATGTGCCCAATCCTCTCTCCAAACTCCAGATCCAACGTTTGCTGCATGGATACACATGGAAATGTGCATTTACTGCCACGGAGCAGCTGCAGGAACACTCCAGTCCAGGACTGCTGAGGTCCCCAGTGTCCCTCTGAGCCCTGGGACAGATGAAGCAGCCTCACCTTGCGAGCTTTCTTCTCACTCCGGCTCTGTTTTGCTTTGCTGACGGGTTCTTCGTCTATTTCGGCTGCTGCCGCAAGCTGCAGGGAGGGAAAAGCATCAGTGACGGTGCTGGGGTGACACGGCAGGGACTCTGATCCACCCTGGATGGCCTCTGCCACCTGCCCTACCTGTGCCTGCTGCGTCGTGGCCTGCGTGGAGTCCTGCTCTTCGAGCTCTGGTACGGATTCATCGCTGTCAGACTCTGTGCCAGACCCTGCAGAGACACACAGCCCAACTCAGCAAGGCCCAAGCACACTGGTTTGCCACCAGTCAGCCCAGTTAGGGGGTGGACAGAGCATTCCCTGCACTCTGAATGCCACCAGCAGGGTGGCACCGCTGGGTTCTCAGCCTTGCCATGGTGGGAGCAGCCCCAAAGGTGCCCAGAGGCTCTGCAATGGATCCTGAGGGAGCTCCAGCCTGGGGCACCAGCTCGAGGAGGAGGAGGTGGCAGTTCAGTGTGACAGGGCCTCTCTTGATCCCCTCAAAGCCAGAGCCCGAGGAGGAGGAGGTGGCAGTTCAGTGTGACAGGGCCTCTCTTGAGTCCCCTCAAAGCCAGAGCTGGCACAGGGCACCAAGACCCCACTCAAAGAGCCACCAGGGTGCTGCACATCTGTGGCTTCACACCAGGGGTGATCTGGGATAACCCCAAACCCCCCTCAGGGGACCTGAGATTATCCAGGATGATCTGGGATAACCCCAAACCCCTATGAGGGGACCTGAGGGCCACCAGGATAATATGGGATAACCCCAAACGCCCCTCACAGGACCTGAGGGCCACCAGGATGATCTGGGATAACCCAAAACCCCCATCAGGGACCTGAGAGCCACGAGGATAACCCCAAACCCTCCTCAGGGGACCTGAGGGCCACCAGGATAATCTGGATAACCCCAAACCCCCCTCAGGGAACCTGAGGGCCACCAGGATGATCTGGGATAACCCCAAACCCCCCTCAGGGGACCCGAGGGCCACCAGGATAACCCCAAACCCCTCTCAGGGGACCTGAGGGCCACCAGCTGCAGTTGTGACCCACGGCACTGACCACACCAGTTACTGCAGCAGAGCTGGGTGTCCCCAACCTCGGAGGTCACCTGGAGGTGCTGACCCCGATGCTCCCGTGCAGCCATTACCTGGATTCGGCCCTCATGGCACACAGGAGCCTTGGCAAACCTCTCTGCAGGTGTCAAGGTGTGCCAACACTTCAGGCACAGCGTGGGGACATCCCAGTTTGCCACCACGAGGCCACACCACACACGCAGCAGTGCCAGGCACGTGGGCATCTCCTCAGTGTGAAGCCAGCTCATCTCATCATCTCATCTCATTTTTGCAGTGCCCATGCCACAAACCAACCACAAACCACAAACCACAACCGCCAGGCCGTGCTCCGTGCCCGAGGACACGCGTTAGTGACCGCTGGCACCGTGCTCACCCCTTGTCCCCACCCCTTGGCACACGCCGGGCACACGCCGTTAGTACCCCGTGGGCATCCAGTGACACTCCATGCACAAAAACCAAAAATACCCTTGTCATTCTTGAGGATGGGCTGCGGTGCCAGCACCCCCGTGGCAGGGGACAGCTCCAGCAGCACGGGTGGCTCGGGTGGGAGCAGAGGTGGCAGCTCCTCGTCATCGTCACCGGGCGCGGGTTTCGGGGGGGGCTTGGCCACCTTGTTATTGGGGAGGGGCTGCTGCTTCTTGGCGGGGCTTGGGGGCTTTGGAGGGGCACCAGAAGCTGGGGCAGGAGGTGGGGGTGTGGCTGCTGGAGTTGGGGTGGCCTTGGCAGGGCTTTTTGGGGGTGCCTTGGCCTCTGCGGGGCTTTTTGGGGGTGCCTTGGCCTCAGCGGGGCTTTTTGGGGATGCTTTGGCTGCAGCGGGGGTGGTTGGAGGGGGAGTGGCTTTTACAGGGCTTTTTGGGGGTGCCTTGGCCTCAGTGGGGCTCTTTTGGGGTGCCTTGGCCTCAGCGGGGTTTTTTTGGGGTGCCTTGGCCTCTGCGGGGCTTTTTGGGGGTGCCTTGGCCTCAGCAGGGCCTTTTGGGGGTGCCTTGGCCTCAGCAGGGCCTTTTGGGGGTGCCTTGGCCTCAGTGGGACCTTTTGGGGGTGCCTTGGCCTCAGCAGGGCCTTTTGGAGGTGCCTTGGCCTCAACAGGGCTTTTTTGGGGTGCCTTGGCCTCTGCGGGGCTTTTTGGGGGTGCCTTGGCCTCCGCAGGGCTCTTTGGGGGTGCCTTGGCCTCAGTAGGGGTGGCTGGAGCTGGGGTAGCTTTGACAGGGCTTTTTGGGGGTGCCTTGGCCTCACTGGGGGTGGTTGGAGCTGGGGTGGCCTTGGCAGGGCTTTTTGGGGGTGTTTTGGCCTCAGCAGGGCTTTTTGGGGGTGCCTTGGCCTCAGCAGGGCTCTTTGGAGATCCTTTGGCTGCAGCAGGGGCAGCTGGAGCTGGGGTGGCCTTGGCAGGGCTTTTTGGGGATGCCTTGGCCTCATTGGGGCTTTTTTGGGGTGCCTTCTCTTCAGGAGAGGCTGCTGGAGCTGGGGTGGCTTTCACAGGGCTCTTTGGGGGTGTTTTGGCCTCAGGAGAGGCTGGTGGAGCTGGGGTGGCTTTCACAGGGCTCTTTGGGGGTGCCTTGTCCTCAGCAGGGCTCTTTGGGGGTGCCTTGTCCTCAGCAGGGGTGCCTGGAGCTGGGGTGGCCTTGCCAGGGCTCTTTGGGGGTGTTTTGGCCTCAGCAGGAGCAGCTGAAGGTGCTGGAGCCACAGGAGAGGATGGGGCAGTGACAGGGCTGCCCTTGGGAGGTTTTTTGGCTGCTCCAGGGGAAGCTGGAGCTGGGGTGGCCTTGGCAGGGCTTTTTGGGGGTGCCTTGGCCTCAGTGGGGCTTTTTGGGGGTGCCTTATCCTCAGGAGAGGCTGCTGGAGCTGGGGTGGTTTTCACAGGGCTTTTTGGGGCTGCCTTGGCCTCAGTGGGGCTTTTTGGGGGTGCCTTATCCTCAGGAGAGGCTGCTGGAGGTGAGGTGGCTTTGGCAGGGCTCTTTGGGGGTGCCTTGTCCTCAGTGGGGGTGGCTGGAGCAGGGGTGGCCTTGCCAGGGCTTTTTGGGGGTGCCTTGGCCTCAGTGGGGCTTTTTGGGGGTGCCTTCTCTTCAGGAGAGGCTGCTGGAGGTGAGGTGGCTTTGGCAGGGCTTTTTGGGGGTGCCTTGGCCTCATTGGGGCTTTTTGGGGGTGCCTTCTCTTCAGGAGAGGCTGGTGGAGCTGGGGTGGTTTTCACAGGGCTCTTTGGGGGTGCTTTATCCTCAGTGGGGGTGGCTTTGGCAGGGCTCTTTGGGGGTGCCTTGTCCTCACTGGGGGTGGCTTTGGCAGGGCTCTTTGGGGGTGTTTTGGCTGCTGGAGCTGGTGGAGCTGCAGGAGCTGGGCTGGCAGGGGATGGGGTGGAAGGAGCAGGACTCTTGGGAGCAGTTTTGGCTGCAGGTGGGGTGGCTGGAGCTGGGCTGGGAGGAGTTGGAGCAGCAGCTGAGGCAGCAACAGAGCCCTTGGCAGCGTCTTTGGCTGAGGGAGGGGCAGCTGGAGAGGATGGAGATGCCATGGGGGCTGTGACAGGGACAGAGGTGGCAGCTGGGGCAGTGACTGGGCTCCCAGGAGCTGGTTTAGCCACAGGAGGGGTGGCTGGAGCCACCAGGGATGGTGTGACAGGGACAGAGGTGGCAGCTGGGGCAGTGTTTGGGCTCCCAGGAGCTGGTTTAGCCACAGGAGGGGTGGCTGGAGCCACCAGGGATGGTGTGACAGGGACAGAGGTGGCAGCTGGGGCAGTGTTTGGGCTCCCAGGAGCTGGTTTAGCCCCAGGAGGGGTGACTGGAGCTGCCATGGGGGCTGTGACAGGGGCACAGCTGGCAGAGGGGACAGCAGGAGCTGCTGCTGGGAGCCCTGGGACAGAGATGGCAGCTCCCAGTGCAGGTGGGGACAGGGCAGGAGCCACTGGAGCTGCTCGAGGGGCTGGGGGTCCCACGGGAGAGGCCTTGGCAGCAGAAGGAGCAACTGGGAGCAGTGGTGGGACTGGGGAACCAGGGGTTGACCCAGCTGGCAGCAGAGGGATAGGAGGTGACAAAGGAGCTTTGGGGGCAGCCAGGAAGACGGGGGGAGAGATGGCACCGACCAGGGCTGGAGCTGGGGCTCGGGGAGAGGCTGGAGCAGCAGGGGACACAGGGACTGTGGGATGTGGGGGTGATTCTGGACTCTGGGGGGACACTGGCAGCAAACTGGGGGGCACTGCTGGGGGAGATGCCAGGAGGGGACGGGATGGGGGAGGCAGGAGAGCGGCTGCTCCAGAGGGAGGGAAAGGAGCTGGGGCTGCTCCAGAGGGAGGGAAAGGAGCTGGGGCTGCTCCAGAGGGAGGGAAAGGAGCTGGGGCTGCTCCAGAGGGAGGGAAAGGAGCTGGGGCTGCTCCAGAGGGAGGGAAAGGAGCTGGGGCTGCTCCAGAGGGAGGAAGAGGAGCTGGGGCTCCTCCAGAGGGAAGAAGAGGGGTTTGGGCTGCTCCAGAGGGAGGGAAAGGAGCTGGGGCTGCTCCAGAGGGAGGGAAAGGAGCTGGGGCTGCTCCAGAGGCTGCAGTGGGAGAAGATTTCATGGCAGAGCTGAGAGCAGCTGGGAGAGAAGTGGGGCTCACTGTGGGCACAAGAGGGGCCACTGTCACTGCAGCAGAAGCAGCAGCCAGGCCAGGTGACACTGGAGCTGGGAACCCTGGGGACACTGGGGACACTGGGGCAGGCCCTGGAGATCCTGGGGCTGCAAAAGCCACGGGGCCCTGAGGAGCTGGAGGAGGGGCAGGGGTGGCTGAGGCCAGCAGAGCTGGGGCAGGGGCCTGGGGGGGCACAGAGAACACGGGGATGGCTGCAGCTGGGACCACGGGAGGGGACACAGGGCCTGGGGCAGGGCTGGGCAGCTGTGCCTGGGCAGATGGAGATGGAGTCAGAGGTGGGGAATGAGCAGCATGGAGAGCAGCTAAAGGAGAGAAAGAGAGTGAGCCATGAGAGGAGGAGGAGAAACAGGAGGGGGGAATGCAGCCAGGCCTGGCATTCCTCTGGCTTCTGGCCCAGCAGGCACTGCCAGGGGCAGAACGGGGCAGGACGTTCATCCCCTTCTAGAACACAGATTTTCCTGAGAGCCCTGGATGGCAGCAGGCACTCCCTGAACAGCCAGGAAGCTCCAGCAATGCAGGGATCCAGCTCTGCCCTCCTGCCAAAGGGGCTGTCACAACCCCTGTGCAGCCCCAGAATCTGTCAGGACACCCAGGGCTGCTCACCAGCCTGGGGTCACCCCTTGGGCTGCAGGGGGAATATAAAGATCTACCCAAGAAGAGGAAGGGAAAGTCAAATATAACCCCAAAAAATAAATCTAGAAATAAATAAAATATTAAAAAAATATAATATAATTCCACTGACATGTGGAATTACTCTTGGAGTGCTCTGGGAGCCCCCTCCTTCCAACCAGGGAGGGCACAATTACAGTGCCCCTTGGGGTGCAGGGGGAATAAAGATCCACCCAAGAAGAGGAAGGGAAAGTCAAATATAACCCCAAAAAATAAATATATAAATAAATAAAATATTAAAAAAATATAATATAATTCCACTGACATGTGGAATTACTCCTGGAGTGCTCTGGGAGACCCCTCCCTCCAAGAAGACCCTCCCCTCCATAAAGACCCACCCAAGAAGAAGGAGGAAAAGTCAAATATAACCCAAAAATTAAATCTATAAATAAATAAAATATTTTAAAATATAATATAATTCTACTGACATGTGGAGTTACTCCTGGAGTGCTCTGGGAGACCCCTCCTTCAAACCAGGTAGGGCACAATGACATGGGGGTGGTGGGGCCAGGCCCCCCAGTGCCCCCCAATTCCCTGGAAGCTGTCAGGGTTAATGGAATGCAGCCCCCAGAATGGCCCAGGCTGGTTCAAGTGGCACACCAGGGGTTACAGGAGTACCTGGAGCAATGAAATTCCCAATGCCAAGCAGCAATCAAGGGGCACTGTTTAGGGAAAGGGCCATGGAGGACTCAGCTTCCAGCCTCTGAGCCAGAGCTGAGCCTGGAGAGAGCCCTGACATTCCTGACAAAATTCCCAATGAAATTCCCAATGCCAAGCAGCAATCAAGGGGCACTGTTTAGGGAAAAGGCCATGGAGGACTCAGCTTCCAGCTCCTGAGCCAGAGCTGAGAGCCTGGAGAGACATTCCCAACAAAATTCCCAGCTATCAAAGGGCACCATTTAGTGAAGAGGCTTCAGCTTCCAGCTCCTGAGCCAGAGCTGAGCCCTGACATTCCCAGTGAAATTCCCAACAAAATTCCCAACAAAATTCCCAATGCCACCAGCAATCAAAGGGCACTGTTTAGGGACTGTTTAGGGACTGTTTAGGGAAGAGGCCGTGCCAGGGCTGAGCCTGGAGAGAGCCCTGGTATTCCCAATTAAATTCCCAATTAAATTCCCAATGCCAACCAGCAATCAAAGGGCACCATTTAGTGAAGAGGCGATGCCAGGGCTGATCTTTGAGCTCCTGAGAGCCTGGAGAGAGCCCTGACATTCCCAATGAAATTCCCAACGAAATTCCCAATGCTAAGCAGCAATCAAGGGGCACCATTTAGTAAAAGGGCCATGAGGGGATTCAGCCTCCAGCTCCTGAGAGCCTGGACAGCCCTGACATTCCCAACACCATTCCCAGCAGCCAGAGGAGATCCAAGGGAGGGCAGAGCCCAGCAGAGCCGGGCAGGGCAGGGCAGGGCAGGGCTGGTCCAACCAGCAGAACCAGCCCGGGCACGGCACCGCCCTTGGGAGCTGCAGAGCCGCCCTCAGGAGCCAGCCCCATGCCATGGATCCTGTCCCTGTCCCACCCTGGCCATGGATCCTGTCCCTGTCCCACCCTGGGACCAGCCCTGTGCCATGGATCCTGTCCCTGTCCCACCCTGAGAGCAGCCCTGTGCCATGGATCCTGTCCCTGTCCCACCCTGGGACCAACCCAGAACCATGGATCCCGTCCCTGTCCCACCTTGGGACCAGCCCTGTGCCATGGATCCTGTCCCTGTCCCACCCTGGGCTCAGCCCTGTGCCATGGATCCTGTCCCTGTCCCACCCTGGGCTCAGCCCCGTGCCATGGATCCTGTCCCTGCCAGGTGCTGTGTCCCTGTCCCACCCTGGGATCAGTGTCACAGTCGTATCCTGGTCTCTCTGCCACCCAGGGCAGTGACAGAGCCCAGAGCCAGCTCCATTCCATGGATCCTGTCCCTGCCAGGTGCTGTGTCCCTGTCCCTTTTGTCCTGTCCCTGCCAGGTGCTGTGTCCCTGTCCCCTTTTGTCCTGTCCCTGCCAGGTGCTGTGTCCCTGTCCCTTATGTACTTTTCTCTACACAAAAACCATTAAATGTTTCTGGTCACCCGTGTGCTGGGATGTGCTAAGGAGGGTGGGGGTCCCCTTGCTCTGGGGAGGAGCTGGGGGAGGGGGTTCCCTGCCTGGACCCTTTCCTGACCCCATAACCCTGCCTGGACCCTTTCCTGACCCCATAACCCTGCCTGGATCCTTTCCTGACCCCATAACCCTGCCTGGATCCTTTCCTGACCCCATAACCCTGCCTGGACCCCCCAAACCTGCTCTGACCCCATAACCCTGCCTGGACCCTTTCCTGACCCCATAACCCTACCTGGACCCCCCAAACCTGCTCTGACCCCCCTAAAATGCTGGATCCTGTCCCTGCCAGGTGCTGTGTCCCTGTCCCACCCTGGGATCAGTGTCACATGCAGGGAATGCCATCTCTGTCCCTACCCCAGGAATGGGGTCTTGAAAGGTGCTGCTAATGCCCCATTTTACCCCCATTTTACCCCAAATCAGGGCTGGACAGCAGTGCCAGGACATTTTCTGCTCCAAGGAACGTTCTGGTGCCTCCCAAAGGAGCAGCAAGTGCTGCCAAGGGCACAGAACAGGCCATGCCACCCTCTCCAGAACAATCTTTTATCCCTGCCTGCTCTCCCTGTTCCTTCTGAGCACATTCCTGATGAACACAATCATTCCTGCTTCTCCCCCACAGCCCCACCTTTGCTTGGTTCCTTCTCAAACATCCCAAATTAAAAGATTCCCCAAAACCAGGAGATTTCTGCCCAGAATCCCTCTGGATCAGCGTGCACCAGCCTCACATCTCCAAAGTTTTTCCAAGAAAAATTATGAAAATCTAAGGAGGAATCCCAAGGAAGGAATCCCAAATCAGGGGATTTGGGAATCCCAAAATCCTGCCCAAGGAATCCCAGGAGCAGGAGAATTTTGGGAGCTGTCAGTTGAGAGGGACAGAGGAGCCATTGCAGGGAGGGCCCCAAAGAGGAATTTCAGCAACGCTGGGAGGGATAAGGAGCTCAGCAGCTCCTGGGAATCGTCGGTGCAGCTGTCACAGCAACAGCCATCACTCAGCTCCCTGCTTGTGTCCCCTCTCTGTCACCAGCCCTCTGTGGTGGTCCCACAATGGGACAGAGCCCAAATCCTATGAGAAACCCCCAAATCCTACAAGACAGATGTCCAAAATTCAGTGTGCGAGCCCCAAATCCAATAGGGCAGACCCCTAAATCCAAAGGGACAGACATACAAAATTCAGGGAGAAACCCCCAAATTCAATGGGACAAACCCCAAAATCTGACAGGACTGATCCCCAACATTGAATGAAAGACCCCCCAAATCCAGAGGGACAGACTCCAAAGCCAGGGGAACAGACCCCCAAAATTCAGTGAGAGACCCCAAATCCAATGGGACAGGCCCCCAAATCCAACAGGACAAGTCCCCAGATCCAAAGGGACAGACCCCCAAATCCCACAGGACAAGACCCCCAAATCCAACAGAACAGGCTCCAATACCAAAAGGACAGAATCCCCAAATCCCATAGGACAGGTTGCCAGAACTAATGGGACAGGCCCCCCCAAATCCAATAGGACAGGATCCCAAATCCAGCGGGACAAGTCCCCAAATTCAATAGGACAGAATCCCCAAATCCAGTGGGACAGGTCCCCAAATCCAAAAGGACAGAATCCCCAAATCCCATAGGACAGGTCGCCAAAACCAATGGCACAAGCCCCCCCAAATCCAGTGGGACAGGATCCCAAATCCTACAGACAGGACCCTAAATCCAGTGGGACAGGTCCCCAAATCCCATAGGACAGGACCCTAAATTAAACACCCCGACCTGGCCACGGCCGCTTCCCTCCTCTCCCACCCAAACCGAGCTCGGACCCATCCCCGGTGCCGGGACTTAGGGACACGAGGAGTCCCCGCTCCGCTCCCCCGTCCCCGGTCCCGTTCCCCGCGTGCTCCGGCCGGGAAATCGGCACAGAACCGGCCCAGAGCGAGACCACGGAACGGACACCCCAAAACCCCCGCGGGGTACGTGACAAGACTCAAACCGGGCTCACACAACCCCCGCCGCCACCGCGTCCCGGCGCACCCTCCCCGGGAAGCCGCAGCTTCCCCCGCCGGGTGAGGGGATCCCGGGAATCACCCCCAAAACCGCCCCGGGATCCCGGGAATCAGCCCCAAAACCGCCCCGGCGCACCCCCTGGCCTTACCTGTCTCCGCCTGCGGCTGCGGCAGCTCCTGCTCCGTGGCCGGGACAGTTTCTGTGGCTTCGCCGGGCATTTCTACGGGAATGGACAAACCGACAAGCCCGGGCTCGCCGGGGCTCCGGTACAGCCCCGGGGCCACCACCGGTAACTCGTCCTTCCCACCCCGTTCGGACACCGCGCGCTTCCCTCTACCGGGAAAATCTACCGAGACAGCTCGGCCGTACGGCACAGGCAGAGCCCGATCCTGATCTCGGTCGCCGTCCCGGTGCCGGTGCCGGGCCTAGGCCGCCTCCTCCCCCCCGTCCCCTCTGCCCTGCCCGGCGTTCCCACGACCCCATCGATGGCCTCAACCAGCTCCTCCCGGCCACCCGCTCATCCCGCTAGCGGCGAGCGGCGCCCTGAGCGGCGGATGGCGGTGGATGGCGGCGGATGGCGGCGCGGGACTCACTGTGCGGGGAGCGGGGCCCAAGATGGCGGCGGAAAGAGACCGAGAGGGCAGCGCGACTTCCGGGAGCGCGACTTCCGGGGCAGGGGGAGAGCCCCGGCAACAACGGCCCGGCCCGGCCCCCGCGGCCGCGCTCCGGAGTTCCGGGCTCTGTTTGGGCCTCACCGTGAGGGCGGGGAGAAACCGGGGCGGGGGGGACAAGGGGTCAGGGCAGGTTTAGGGGGTCAGGGCAGGTTAAGGAGGTCCAGGCAGGTTTAGGGGGTCAGAACAAGGGGTCAGGACAGGTTTAGGGGGTCCACGCAGGGTTATGGGGTCAGGGTAGGGGGTCCATTCAAGATTAGGGGATCCAGCCAGGTTTAGGGGGTCAGGCAGGATCCAGGCAGGGTTATGGGGTCAGGACAGGGGGTCCCAGCAGGGTCAGGGCAGGGTTAAGGAGTCAGGACAGGTTTAGGGGGTCCAGGCAGGTTTAGGGGGTCAAGACAGGGGGTCCAGGCAGGATTAAGGGCTCAGGACAGGGTTAGAGGGTCAGGGCAGGTTTAGGGGTTCTAGGCAGGTTTAGGACAGGGTCAAGACAGGGTTATAGGGTCAGGACAGGGGGTCCAGGCAGGGTTATGGGGTCAGAGCAGAGTTACAGGGTCAGGACAGGGTCAGGACAGGGGTTCAGGGCAAGGTTAGGGGGTCCAGGCAGGGGACTGGGGGCAGTGACCCCACACTGCAGAGAAGGGACCCCCAGCTCCTCCCCACACTGAGGGGACCCCCACCCTCCTCAGCACACCCCAGCACAAAGCTGACAGAAACATTTAATGGTTTTTGTGTAAAAAAAAAGGTACAAAAGGTACAAAAACAGGGCAGGGACAGGGGGCCTGGGGGGTTTGGCTGCTCCACGGGACCCCCATGGCCAGGGGAGGTGACAGTGACAACACTGGCAGCGTCCAGGCCTCAGAAATCTCCTTGGAGATCTGCAAAAAGGGAGAAATTGAGAGGTTTTTCCAGACCCCAAAATTCGATTAAAACCCCCCAAATCCAAAGGGACAGACCCCAAATCCAATGAGAAACCCCCAAATCCAACAGGGCAAACCCCAAAAATTCAATTAAATACCCCCAAATCCAGAGAGACAGTCCCCAAAATTCCGTGAAAGACCCCCAAATAAAATGGGACAGACTCCAAATCCAAAGGCACAGGTCCCAAAATTCAATAAAATGCCCCTAAATCCAAAGGGACAGACCCCAAAATTCAATAAAATGCCCCCAAATCCAACAGGGCAAACCCCAAATCCAATGAGAAACCCCCAAATTCAATGGGGCAGCCCCCAAAACTCAGTGAAAGACCCCCAAATAAAATGGGACAGACTCCAAATCCAAAGGGACAGACCCCAAATCCCAAGGGACAGACACCCAAAATTCAATGAAAGACCCCAAATCCAGAAGGACAGACCCCAAATCCAATGGGGAAGACCCCCAAATCCAATCAGAAACCCCCAAATCCAGCAGGCCCGACCCCCACGTCCCACAGGAGCCCCCCAAAGCCGTTCTCAGAGGCAGAGGGGCCCTTTTGGGGTGGTTTTTGGGGTGGTTTTTGGGGTCCCACCGCTGCGGCGGATGCGCTCTCCCCGCCGGGCGCTCTCCAGCCCCTCCACGAACTGCTCCAGGAGCCTCACAAACGGGGCCAGGCTGGTCCTCCTGTAGTCTGCAGGTGTGGGGAGGGCGTGAGGGGACCCCAAAACTTCAGCCCTGAGCTCCAAAACCCCAGCCCTGAGCTCAAAACCCCAGCCCTGAGCTCCAAACCCCAGCCCTGAGCTCCAAACCCACAGCCCCGACCCCCAAAACCCCATCCCCGACCCCCAAAACCACAGCCATGACCCTCAAAATCCCAATCTTGACCCTCAAAATCCCAACCTCGACCCCCAAAACCCCAACCTTGATGCCCAAATGCCACCCCTGACCCCCAAAACCACAGCCCTGACCCTCAAAATCCCAATCTTGACCCCCAAAATCCCAACCTTGACCCCAAAACCACAGCTTTAACCCTCAAACCCTGACCCTAACCCCCAAAACCACAGCCCTGACCCCCAAAACCACAGCCCTGACCCTCAAAACCCCAACCCTCTAAACTCCATCCCCAACCCACAAAACTACAGCCTTAACCCTCAAACCCTGACCCTAACACTCAAAACCACAGGCATGACCCTCAAAACCCCATTCCTGGCCCCCAAAATCCCAACCTTGACCCTCAAATGCCATCCCTGACCCCGAAAACCACAGCCCTGACCCCAAAACCCTGACTCTGACCCCCAAAATCCCAACCTTGACCTCCAAATGATATCTCTGACCCCAAAGCCCATCCCTGATCCCCAAAACCACAGCCTTGACCCTCAAATCCAAAGGGACAGACACCCAAACCCCATCTCTGACCCCAAACCCTGACCCCACACTCTATCCCTGAGCACAAACCCCAAACCTTGACCCCAAACCCGATCCCAAACCCCAAACCCCATCCCTGACCCCAAACCCCACCCCACACCCCAAACCCTGACCCCAAACCCAATCCCTGACCCCAAACCCCACCCCACACCCCAAACTCTGATCCCAAACCCCATCCCTGAGCACAAACCCCAAACCCCGACCCCAAACCCCCCCCCTCACCCCTCATGCGCCGCTTGGGCTCGGTGTCCCCCTCCCCATCCTGCTCGCCATCGCTGCCGGCCGCGTCCAGCTCCTGGCACAGAGACCTGGCACAGACACGGGACAGACATGGGACAGACATGACACAGACATGGCACAGACATGGGACAGACATGGGACAGACATGGCACAGACACGGCACAGACACGGGACAGACACGGGACAGACATGGGACAGACACGGGACAGACATGGCATAGACATGGCACAGACGGACAAACATGGCACAGACATGGGACAGACATGGGACAGACACGGGACAGACATGGGACAGATGGACAAACATGGCACAGACACGGGACAGACATGGGACAGATGGACAAACATGGCACAGACATGGGACAGACATGGGACAGATGGACAAACATGGCACAGACATGGCACAGACATGGGACAGACATGGCACAGACACGGGACAGACATGGGACAGATGGACAAACATGGCACAGACATAGCACAGACATGGCACAGACACGGGACAGACATGGCACAGACATGGGACAGACATGGGACAAACAGGGCAGGTTTAGGGTCAGCGTTAGGAGTAGGGGCAGGGTTAGGGTGAGGATTAGGGTCAGGTTTAGGGAGAGGGTAGGATTAAGGTCAGGGTTAGGGTCCAGGTCAGGTTTAGGGTGGGGTTAAGGTCAGGGTCAGTGTTAGGATCAGGTTTAGGGGTTAGGGTCAGAGTTAGGATCAGGTTTAAGGTCAGGGTCAGTGTCATTGTTAAGGTCAGGGTTAGGGGTCAGTGTCAAGGTTAGGGTCAGGTTAAGGGTCAAGGTTAGGGTTAGGGTTAAGGTTAATGTTCGGTTTAGGGTAAGTTTAGGGTCAGTGTTAGGGTTAGGGTCACGGTTTGCGGTCAGTGTTAGGGTTAGGGTCACGGTTTAGGATCAGGGTTAGGGTGAGGATTAAGGTCAGATTTAGGGTAGGGTTAAGGTCAGGGTAGGGTTGGGGCCAGGGTCAGGATAAGGGTAAGGTTTGGGGTCAGGGTAGGATTAGGGTCAGGGTTAGGGTTGGGGTAGGATGAGGGTTGGGGTTGGGGTCCGGGTTAGAGTTGGGGTCAGGGTTAGAGTTAGGGTCAGGGTTGGGGTCAGGATCAAGGTCAGAGTCAGGTTTCAGTTTAGATTTAATGTTAGGGTTTAGGGTTTTGAGTTCGGGTTTGGGTTAGGGACCTTCTGGGGGGCTCTGGCAGCACCAGGACCCCCCAGTGCTCCCAGTGATGGGTTAGGGTTTGGGTTTGGGTTTCAGTTTAGGTTTAGGGTATGGGTTAGGGTTTCAGTTTAGGTTTAGGGTTTGGGTTTCAGTTTAGGTTTAGGGTTTGGGTTTGGGATTCAGTTAGGGTTAAGGGTTTGGGTTAGGGTTTGGAATTCAGTTTAGGTTTAGGGTTTGGGATTCAGTTTAGGTTTAGGGTCTGGGTTTGGGATTCAGTTAGGGTTTAGGGTTTGGGTTTGGGATTCAGTTTAGGTTTAGGGTTTCGGTTTGGGATTCAGTTGAGGTTTAGGGTCTGGGTTTCAGTTTAGGTTTAGGGTTTGGGTTAGGGATTCAGTTTAGGTTTAGGGTTTGGGTTAGGGTTAGGGTTTGGGATTCAGTTTAGGTTTAGGGCTTTGGGTTTCAGTTTAGGTTTAGGGTTTGGGTTTGGGATTCAGTTAGAGTTTAGGGTTTGGGTTAGGGTTTGGGATTCAGTTTAGGTTTAGGGTTAGGTTTAGGGTTTGGGATTCAGTTTAGGTTTAGGGTTTTGGGTTCTGGGGGGCTCTGGCAGCACCAGGACCCCCCCAGTGCTCCCAGTGACGTACGTGATGGTGGGGACGGAGAATGGATCAAACTCATCCAACTTCTGCAGGTCCAGAGGGACTGAAATGCGCCCTGAGACACAGCGGGGTTGTGGGTTTAGGGTTTTTTGGGCTTGGACATGGGGTAACTGAGAGGTGTTTTAAAAAGCTGTGTTTTGTTTTTAGTTTTATGTGAATGGTGGGATAATACAGCTGTTAGGATGTATAATTACAATAATAAATGCAATTAATAAAAAAATAATTATAATAATCAGAATCATGATCTATAGTAATTTATAATAATTATCATATAACATTAATATAATAAATAAGGATATTCATATTGGTATAGTATTAAATAGTTTAATTTATTATATGTAATATATGATTTATAATTTATATCTAAATTATCCACATAATATATATTATTCTATGTAATATATATATATTTTATATCTATTTTAATATATAATTTAAAGCATTATAGAATATATTATATTAATATATATTGCTATATATCTATATTTAAAATACCTATTATATATACAAAAATTTTCTATAAATTTAAAATTATATATTTAAAAGAATTTTTATATAAATTTAAATTATTTACATCTTAAAGAAATTATATATTCTAAATAAATTATATAGAAATTCATAATAAAATTTATGTAAATTAAAAATAAATTATACATTAAAATATTATATATATAAATTTATATAAATTGTATATAAATTTATTTTTAATGTATCAACTTAAAATAATTTATACATTAAAAATAAATTATATAGAAATTTATCATAAATTTCATATATTTTATATACCAAAATACATATATAATTATATCTATTATATATAGTATAATATAAAATAACAAACTAACTTATAATAATAATTCTAATAATAATTCTAATAATAATTACAATTTACAACAACAGTTATTCCACTATTCCTTCACTCCAACACATCATAATTACAGCCCCTAAACCATCCTGTCTTATTTATAAAGCCATTTTTTTACACCTATCCACTCTTACTTACAAAGCCATTTCTAAAACTCTTTCCCATTTCCATCTCCCTTTCCCCCACCCTCCAACCCCACTTCCCCCCATGCCCACCTGTTTTGGGGTGCACGCTGAAGGGGCTCTTGAGCAGGTGGCCGAGCCCTTTGCTGACGTTGCAGTCCAGGCGGGGGAAGCAGAGCTGCAGCATCACCTCCCACTCGGGGTGCCCGGCCCGGCCCCGCTCCCGCTCCCGCTCGGCGCGGGCCCGCAGCAGCTCCCAGCGCTGCACCGAGTCCTTCCTGCGGGGGAACTCCGCCTGCAGCGGCTCCCGCAGCTCTGAGGGCCGTCAAGGCTCAGCCACCGTGCCATTCACCCTTCCAGGACCGCGTTTACCCTTCCAGGACCCCATTCACCCTTCCACGACCGCACTGACCCTTCCAGGACCGCATTTACCCTTCCATGACCGCATTTACCCTTCTAGGACCACATTTACCCTTCCAGGATCACGTTTACCCTTCCAGGATCTCTTTTACCCTTTCCAGGATCACATTTACCCTTCCAGGATCTCTTTTACCCTTTCCAGGATCACATTTACCCTTCTAGGATCACGTTTACCCTTCCAGGACCCCATTTACCCTTCCAGGATCTCTTTTACCCTTTCCAGGATGACATGTACCCTTTCAGGATCACGTTTACCCTTCCAGGATCTCTTTTACCCTTTCCAGGATCACATTTACCCTTCCAGGACTGCATTTACCCTTTCCAGGATCTGTTTTACCCTTTCCAGGACCCCATTTACCCTTCCAGGATCCGTTTTACACTTTCCAGAGTCCTATTTACCCTTCTAAGACCACATTTACCCTTCCAGGATCACATTTACTCTTCTAGGATCACATTTACCTTTCCAGGACCCCATTTACCCTTCCAGGATCACGTTTACCCTTCCAGGATCTCTTTTACCCTTTCCAGGATCACATTTACCCTTCCAGGATCTCTTTTACCCTTTCCAGGATCACATTTACCCTTCTAGGATCACGTTTACCCTTCCAGGACCCCATTTACCCTTCCAGGATCTCTTTTACCCTTTCCAGGATGACATGTACCCTTTCAGGATCACGTTTACCCTTCCAGGATCTCTTTTACCCTTTCCAGGATCACATTTACCCTTCCAGGACTGCATTTACCCTTTCCAGGATCTGTTTTACCCTTTCCAGGACCCCATTTACCCTTCCAGGATCCGTTTTACACTTTCCAGAGTCCTATTTACCCTTCTAAGACCACATTTACCCTTCCAGGATCACATTTACTCTTCTAGGATCACATTTACCTTTCCAGGACCCCATTTACCCCTCAAGATGCCATTTACTCTTCCAGGACCCCATTTAGCCCCTCCAGGATGCCATTTACCCTTCTAGAAGCACATTTACCCTTCCAGGACCTGTTTTACCCTTTCCAGGACCCCATTTACCCTTCTAGGACTGCATTTACCCTTCCAGGACCCCACTTACCCTTCTAGGAGCACGTTTACCCTTCCAGCACATCCACCCTATCCGTTTTACCCTTTCCAGAGTCCCATTTACCCTTCCAGGACCCCATTTACCCTTCCAGGATCTCTTTTACCCTTTCCAGGACCCCACTTACCCTTCCAGGACCCCATTTTAACCCCATGCTTCAACCCCATCTTAACCCCAAGTTTTAATCCCATATTTTAATTTTAACCCCATATTTTAACCGCATATTTTACCTTTAACCCCATGCTTTAACTCCCTATTTTAACCCGGTATTTCAATTTTAACCCCATATTTTAACCCCATATTTTAACCCCATATTTCAATTTTAACCCCATATTTCAACCCCATATTTCAACCCCATATTTCAATTTTAACCCCACATTTTAACCCCGCATTTTAATGCCATATTTCAACTTTAACCCCACATTTTAACCCCGTATTTCAATTTTAACCCCGTATTTCAATTTTAACCCCATATTTTAACCCCGTATTTCAATTTTAACCCCACATTTTCCCATATTTTAACCCCGTATTTCAACTTTAACCCCACATTTTAACCCCGTATTTTAATTTTAACCTCATATTTAAACCCCGTATTTCAACTTTAACCCCATATTTTAACCCCTTATTTCAATTTTAACCCCACATTTTAACCCCATATTTCAACTTTAACCCCACATTTTAACCCTATATTTTAATTTTAACCTCATATTTTAACCCCGTATTTCAACTTTAACCCCATATTTTAACTCCTTATTTCAATTTTAACCCCACATTTTAACCCCGCATTTTAACCCCATATTTCAACTTTAACCCCATATTTCAATTTTAACCCCATATTTTAACCCCATATTTTAACCCTGCATTTCAACTTTAACCCCATATTTTAACCCCTTATTTCAATTTTAACCCCACATTTTAACCCCTTATTTCAATTTTAACCCCACATTTTAACCCCATATTTCAATTTTAACCCCATATTTTAATCCCATATTTCAATTTTAACCTCACATTTTAACCCTATATTTCAACTTTAACCCCACATTTTAACCCCGCATTTTAACCCCATATTTCAACTTTAACCCCACATTTTAACCCCGTATTTCAATTTTAACCCCACATTTTAACCCCGTATTTCAATTTTAACCCCATATTTTCCCATATTTTAACCCCTTATTTCAAATTTAACCCCACATTTTAACCCCATATTTCAACTTTAACCCCATATTTCAATTTTAACCCCGTATTTCAATTTTAACCCCACATTTTCCCACATTTTAACCCCACCTGGAAGGATACCCTCGGGGAGCAGGGCCAGCACCTTGTCCCACCTCTCGGGGCTGCCCAGGATGTCCTGGCCCAGCAGCGCGTGCTGCTCAAAGTATTCCTGCACCACGGCCACCGAGCGCCTGGGGACACATCAGTGCAAAAAGGGACTTTTTGGGCACAAATATGGGCCAAGTGAGAGGCTTTGCAAAAAGTTTTATTCTATTTTTAAGTCTTATGTCAAGGGGGGGGATAATAGAGATGGTGTCGTTCATGCTGGCGTTATAAATATATATTTTTAGTATGGATATTTTGTATTTATATATTTATTTTTATATTTTTCCTTATATATAATATAATATAATATAATATAATATAATGTAATATAATGTAATATAATGTAATATAATGTAGTATAATATAATATAATGTAATAGAATACTATATTATATATTATAATTACATATTTCATCTTTATTTTAATATATTTATAATTTCATTCTTATATTTACTTTATATATTTATATATATTTTAATTTTATATATATAAAAGATATATTTTATACATATCATTATATACATTATATATAATATATAGTTAAGGCATAATATATAATATACATAATGAAATATATTCATGTTTACTATTATCTATTATATAGACACATTATAATATATATAATTATATATAATCATATATAATTATATATATTATAGTGTATGTATATAATAGATAATAATAAACATTAATATATTAATGTATATAACATATAATACTATATATTAATATATAACATATCTATTAAAATAATAATATATACATTATATATTATACAATGTATATATTGTTATATTAGTGTATGTAATATATATTAAGTACATTGATAAAATAATATATACATTATATATGATATATAAAATATATTACTTTAAAAATATATATTTTTCTATTTATAATATATATATATATAATTTATATAAAATTAATATTAACAATAATTAAAAGAAAAAAATAGTAAGAATTAAACCAAAATTTTTAGAACAGTTTTCAGTATAAAAGTTTTTACTTTTTAGAATAAAAACTTTTCAAATGCCTCTCACTTGTCCCGTGTTTGGGTTCAAAAAAGGTTTAATCTGACAAATCCTCACCCACCTGATGAAGGGATGCACGGGCTGGGAGAGGCTCACCTTCTTCACCGTGTCTGCACCACCCTGGGGGATACAGGGGGGCTCAGGCTGGGGGGCCTGGGCACCCCAAACCCTCCTGCTCCAGGGGCAGGGTGCCCAAAACCCCCAAAACCCACCTGCTCCAGGGGCAGGGTGCCCAAACCCCCCAAAACCCACCTGCTCCAGGGGCAGGGTGCCCAAACCCCCCAAAACCCACCTGCTCCAGGGGCAGGGTGCCCAAACCCCCCAAAATCCACTTTCACCAGGATCAGGGGGTGCCCAAAGCCCTCAAACCTACCTTTACCAGGATGAGGGGGTGCCTGGACCCCCATAAACCCACTGTCACCAGGGTGAGGGGTTCCCCAAAACCCCACAAACCCACCTTCACCAGGATCAGGGGTGCCCAAACCCCCATAAACCCATTTTCACCAGGGTCAGGGGTACCCAAACCCCCCAAACTCACCTTCCACAGGCTCAGGGGTACCCAAAGCCCCATAAATCCATTTTCACCAGGGTCAGGGGTACCCAAAGCCCCACAAACCCACGTTCACCAGGATAAGGGGGTGCCCAAACCCACCTTGACCAGGCTCAGGGGTACCCAAACCCCCCCAAACCCACCTTCCACAGGCTCAGGGGTACCTAAACCCCCATAAATCCATTTTCACCAGGGTCAGGGGTACCCATAGCCCCCCAAACCCACCTTGACCAGGCTCAGGTGTACCCAAACCCACCTTCCACAGGCTCAGGGGTGCCCAAACCCACCTTGACCAGGCTTAGAGGGTTCCCAAACCCACCTTCCACAGGCTCAGGGGTGCCCAAACCCACCTTGACCAGGCTCAGGGGTACCCAAACCCACCTTGACCAGGCTCAGGGGTACCCAAACCCCCCAAACCCACATTAACCAGGCTCAGGGATACCCAAACCCACCCTCACCAGGCTCAGGGGTACCCAAACCCACCTTGACCAGGTTCAGGGGTACCCAAACCCACTTTCACCAGGTTCAGGGGTACCCAAACCCACTTTGACCAGGCTCAGGGGTACCCAAACCCACCTTGACCAGGCTTAGAGGGTTCCCAAACCCACTTTCACCAGGGTCAGGGGTACCCAAACCCACCTTGACCAGGCTCAGGGGTACCCAAACCCACTTTCACCAGGTTCAGGGGTACCCAAACCCACCTTGACCAGGCTCAGGGGTACCCAAACCCACTTTCACCAGGTTCAGGGGTACCCAAACCCACCTTGACCAGGCTCAGGTACTCCACAGCAGCTGCCCTCAGGGCTGGGGACCATTTCCTGACGTTGTCGTCGCACACCCAGCAGTGCACACCCCTCCTGCCAGAGTACACCCACAGGCGGTGCCGCACGCCCAGGTCCTCTGTGGGGGCACACATGGGGTTTGGGGGACACACAGATGGGTTTTGGGGGCCATAGATGGCTTTGGGGGGGCCACAGGCTGTGGTGACCACCCAAAGCGTTCACACGATGTGAACCTTCTATCAAACTTTAAAAATTTTCTACAAATGCATTTCCCACAGGCTCTTTCTCCAGGCAGCACCTTGGCCTCAAGCTGTGCCAAGGGAAATTTAGGTTGGATATTAGGAAAAAGTTTTTCCACAGGAAGGGTGATAAAGTTCTGGAATGTTCTGCCCGGGGAGGTGGTGGAGTCCCCATCCCTGGATGTGTTTAAAACAAGCCTGGATGTGGCACTGGTGCCATGGTTTAGTTGAGGTGTTGGGGCTGGGTTGGACTCAGTGGTCTTAAAGTTCTCTTCCAACCCAATGATTCTGTGAATTCTGGGAATTTTGGGAATTCCCAGGGCAGAAGGAGGTGGTGGAGTCACAATCCCTGAATGCATTTACCAAAAACTGGACCTGCCCCTCAGTGCTGTGGTTTGGTTGAGGTGTTTGGGGCTAGGTTGGACTTGATGACCTTAAAATTCTCTTCCAGACTGGTCATTCTATAAATTCTGTGAGTTTTGGGAATTCCCACAAGGAGGTGGTGGAGTCACAATCCCTGAATGCTTTTACCAAAAATTGGACGTGGCCCTAAGTGCTGTGGTTTGGTTGAAGTGTTGGGGCTGGGTTGGACTTGATGACCTTAAAATTCCCTTCCAGACTGGTCATTCTATAAATTCTGTGAATTCTCTGGGGTCTGGCATCTGTGGGACCTGGACATGCCCCGTGTGTCCCCAAGGCCCTCACCCACGAGCGCGCGGTCGATGATGCGGACGGCGATGGTCATCAGCGTCCAGCACTTGGAGCAGATATCAGCCGAGCTGGGGGCACAATGAGGGGGCTCAGGTGGACACCCCACACCCCTGAACCCCCTCCCAGCCCCAGAACCCCCCAAAAAACCTGCAGCACGTCCTGACATCATCGTAATCCGTCATGTCAATGTCAAACACCAGCTCCTTCTCCTGCGGCTGGAAGGCTCCCAGGTGCACCGTGTTGTGCTGGTTGGGCTGCAGGAAGGACGGGATGGGCTCAGCGTGGCCAGAGACCCCTGCAGACCCCCCCAGCACGGTGGCCGGGACTCACCCGGTGGGAATAGACGGCCCCGATGTCGATTTTGTAGGGGTTGATCTTCTGCAGTTCCCGCTCCAGCTCCTGGGGGCTGCTGAAGGACTGGAAGCGCAGGTAGACATCGTCCCGCAGGGTGAAGGAGAATTCCCGCAGCTGGAAGTAGTTCTTCACTGCAGGGACCGAGAGGGGTCAAGGCTATCCCAAATCCCCCCATTACAGTCACCCCCAAACCCCCCTTTCCCTGCTCCTCCCGGTGTCCCGGTCAGTGCATCCACGCACCGCCCGTCCCGGCACCCCGAGGTGCGCTGGGATCCGGCATCGCGGTGCTGCCGTCCGGTACCGGTGCCCCCCACCCGGGATCGGTGCCCCCCACCCGGTACTGGTGCCTCTCCCCCTGTATCGATGACCCCAGCCGGTATCGATGCCTCCGCTCGGTATTGATTCCCCCAACCCGGTATCGGTGCCCAACGCCCGGTATCGATTCCCCCAGCCCGGTATCGATGCCTCTCCCCCTGTATCGGCGCCCCCCGCCCGGTATCGGTGCCCCCTGCCCGGTATCACGGTCCCCCGGTAGAACCCCCTGCCCGGTATCGGTTCCCTTGCCCGGTATCACGGTCCCTGGTAGAACCCCCTGCCCGGTATCGGTTCCCTTGCCCGGTATCACGGTCCCCGGTAGAACCCCCTGCCCGGTATCGGTTCCCTTGCCCGGTATCACGGTCCCCGGTAGAACCCCCTGCCCGGTATCGGTTCCCTTGCCCGGTATCACGGTCCTCGGTAGAACCCCCTGCCCGGTATCGGTTCCCTTGCCCGGTATCACGGTCCCCGGTGGAGCCCCCTGCCCGGTATCGGTTCCCTTGCCCGGTATCACGGTCCCCGGTAGAACCCCCTGCCCAGTACCGGTTCCCCGCCCCGCTCACCGCCGCCGTAGCTGAGCCAGCGGCCGTAGGGGCCGTGCGGGAAGAGCCGCCGGTAGTAGACCGGGAGCAGCTCGGGCAGCGCCGCCGGATCGAAGCCCGCCATGGCGGGAACGGAGCGCCGGGAGGCGGCGGGAAACGGCGGCGCCAGGCCCGGGGGATGCCGGGAGTTGTAGTTCGGCCCCAGGCCGCAGGGGCGGGGGGCACCGGGAACCGGGAGTGCGCGGCTTGGGGGGAGTGGGAGGAGAGCAAAGCACCGGGGATGGCCCGGGATGGACGGGAGGGGATGCCCCGGGGTCTGCGGGGTCCCGGGGTCTGGGGTCCGGGGGGTCCCGGGACCGGGAGGGTCGTGGGGTGCAGAGGTGCGGGGATATCCCGGGATGCGAGGGCGTCCCGAGGCGGGTGGGAGCCGGGGGGCTGAGTTTAGGGGGGATTTTGGGGTCCCGCAATGCCCCGGGGCGGGTGGGTCCGGGAGCGCGGTGGTCCCGGGGTGTCCCGGTGTCCGGGGGTGTCCCGGTGTCTGGGGGTGTCCCGGTGTCCGGGGGTATCCCGGTGTCCGGGGGTGTCCCGGTGTCCGGAGAAATCCGGGGTCGTGGGGGGCCAGGGGTGTCCCGGGGTCCAAGGGGGTCCCAGGAGGGGCTGTCCGGGATGGTCCCGGGGTCCCCGGACGCGCGGTCCTGGGTTGTCCCGGGGTCCGGTAGATCCGGGGATGCTGAGCTCCGGGGGGATCCCGGATTTCGGGGTGAACCCAGGATCTGCGAGGGTCCCGGGATTGTTCCGTGATCCGGAGGGCTCCCGGTGCGGGGGGGGCGCGGGGATGTTCCGTGCTCCGGGGTGGTCCCGGGGTCCCGGTGGGTCCCTGGACGCGCGGTCCTGGGCTGTCCCGGGGTCCGGTAGACCCGCGGGTGCTGAGGTCCAGTCTGGTCCCGGCTTTCGGGGTAGTCCCAGGATCTGCGAGGGTCCCGGGGCAGTCCCGTGATCCGGAGGGCTCCCGGGGCTGTTCCGTGCTCCGGGATGGTCCCGGGGTCCGGGGGTTTCCCGGGAGGGCAGCGCAGCGATGCGGTAACGCGCGGGCGCTGCCGCGCTCCCGTTAACGATTCCCCGCAAGAGCGAAGCCCCGGGACACATCCCGGGACACCGCCCGCAGCCCGGCGGGCTCCAGGCGGCAGCAGCGGGACGAGCTCCGAGAGAGGACGGGGCGGAGCCGCTCCCGGATCCTGGTAGCGTCCGGAGGCCCAGCTGTATCTCCGCGATCTGCCCCGGAATCCGCAAATTAATTATTAACAGCGCCCAGAGGGAAAGGCCAAGGTCAGGACAAAGCTCTCCCGGTCGCGTCCTTCTCCCCATCCCGGTAGCGGTGCCGGTGCCACCGCCGAGGATGTGGCTGTACGCGGTGGCCGCGCTGCTGGGGCTGCTCCTGCTGCGCCGCTGGCACCGGGAGCGGCAGACGGTGCCGCGGCTCTCGGAGAAGCACGTGCTGATCACGGGATGCGACAGCGGCTTCGGGGAGCTGCTGGCTCGGCAGCTGGACGCGCGGGGGCTGCGGGTGCTGGCCGCCTGCCTGACGGCCAGCGGGGCCGCGCAGCTGCGGGCCGTCACCTCCGAGCGCCTGCAGACCGTCCTGCTGGATGTCACCTGCAGCAAGAGCATCGCCGATGCCACCGCCTGGGTCCGCGAGCGTGTGGGGGATCAAGGTAAACAGGGCTCGATAGCCCTGCTGTCACCCTGGTGTCACCCTGGTGTCCCCTCTGGCTTCCCCTGCCAGGCTGCGGGGCAATGACGGCTCTGGAATTCATGCCTGTCGCTTCTCTGGCGACATCCACCTGACATCAGCTCCTGCAGGAGCGCTGCCCGGGCAGAGAGTTCAGCTTTCAGCCTTTTCTCCCTGAAAATCCGCTAATTAGGAGCTGATTGCCCCAACAGCTCTCCTGCCACCTTGCCCACTCAACTGGCACTGGGCTGTGCCCTTTGGGACAGCCTCAGCTCATCCCATCCCCTCCGCAGGGCTCTGGGGGCTGGTGAACAACGCAGGCATCGCCATCCCCACCGCTCCAAACGAGTGGCTGAGCAAGGAGGACTTTGTCAAGGTGCTGAATGTCAACCTGGTGGGGCTGGTGGAGGTGACTCTGAGCCTCCTGCCGCTGGTGCGGCGGGCGCGGGGCCGCGTGGTCAACGTGGCCAGCGTGATGGGCCGCGTGTCCTTCTTTGGTGGAGGCTACTGCATGTCCAAGTACGGCGTGGAAGCCTTTTCTGACAGCCTCAGGTAAGTCTGGAACAACAGCTCTCCATCATGGCTCCCCAACTTGTTTTTCTGGACTTTGTCTGGCACAGCTGTCAGCTCTAATCCTCGCACAGCCGTGACCGAGCACAGGTCGGTCTCATATCTTCTGCTGAAGTGAGCAGCTGCTGTGCTGGCATGGAGCCTCTCCTGTGGACATTGGCCCTGTCCAAGACCCTGCTGGACATGGCCCTGCTGCCCCGAGCTTTGCTTTGTTCCCTGCATATCCAGATGTGGCAAACATTTGCTGGCTCACCATCTCAGCCATGTGCCAGGCTGGCACAAGATCCACTGGCGTGGTCAGGATCTGCTCCATGCCTCTGGCATGAGGTTCATCCCATGGGAGATGTGGGCATGGAGCCTCCCCTGTGGACACTGGCCATGCTCCCCTGAGCTTTGCTTTGCTCCCAACCCATCCAGATGTGGCAAATGTTTGTTTGCTTGGTTCCCAACCCACGTTCCCACCAGCTGAGCCAAATGTTTACTGAAGCACCATCTCAGCCGTGTGCCAGGCTGGCACAAACATCCACTGACATGGTCAGGCTCTGCTCCACGCCTCTGGCACTCCAGAGGCTCCATGCTATGGGAGATGCTGGCACTGGCACCCTCGGGTGCTGCTCCCATGTCCCACGGGGCTCAATCCCTTCCAGGCTGGAGATGCAAAACTTTGGGGTGAAGGTCTGTGTGATCGAGCCAGGCTACTTCAAAACCATGATCAACAACCTTGAGAACCTGGAGAAGAATTTCTGTGCCAGCTGGGAGAAGCTTCCTGCAGAGATCAAAGAGAGTTATGGGGAGAGCTACTTGAGGGACTGTAAGTAGCTCCCCCAAAGGCTGAGTGATTCTCTTTGTCTCCTGACTCAAGGCCCATGGCGTCCCATGGGGGTCCCACTGCCCCAAAACCCCCTGGAGCCCCTTGGCTCTGCCCAGCTCCAGGATCTCAGTGGTGTTTTCTGCCTCTGCAGTTGTTTCCACGCTCAAGGTGCTGCAGAAGGGCTACAACGCCAACCTGTCGCTGGTCACCAACTGCATGGAGCACGCTCTGACCAGCCTGCACCCCCGGAGCCGCTACTCGGCCGGCTGGGACGCCAAGCTGCTCTACCTGCCCCTCAGCTACCTGCCCTCAGCCCTCAGCGACGCCCTGTTCACCATGTTCTACCCCAAATCTGTTGGCAAAGCCTGAGGTGGGCTTGCAGCTGGCAGCCGGGATCAGAGGGAGATCCAGTAACACACAGCTGGATCCGGAACTGCCTGCAGGCAAGGCCACACTGAGTTTGTAACTGCATTTATGTCTGACCCTCTGGCCCCTGCTCACAGATGGGTTTGTCCTGAATAAATTTTGCCCTGTCCCCTCCTGGCTGAGCGTGGTGTCACTCAGGCTGTGGCGCTGAGGCTGTGCCTGGAGGCTCCGGCTCTTCCTTTGAGCACCTGCTGCATTCAGGATCCAGCCCTGGACAAGTTGCCAGGGGACTTGCCCAGGCTGGCCCCTCAGGTATTGGCACATGCCAGACTTGTTCCAGTCTGAGAGAAACTTGTTCCACAAACCTGAGCAGATTTCCTTCTAAGCAAAAAACTGGGCAGCTTCTTACAGAATCCTCCTGCTCTGCTTCCTCCTCCTCCTCGTCCTCCTGCAGAGCTGACTGGGGGACACTGTCCTGCTCCATCACCACATTTGGGGACACTGTTGCCCACCAACGCTGGGAGAGAGGGAAAGATCCAGGGGTTGGTGCTGCTGGTGGTGTCTGGAAGGTTCCACCAAATCCAGCACCGTGGGGCCTTGGGATCCACCTTGGGGCAGAGCAGAGCCCCAGGCACAGCCAAAAGTGTTGCGAGGCAAAGCCGGGAATTACCAAAGCTACAAATCAGGAGCGCAAACCTCACCCCGGGCCGGGAGCTGCCGCAATCCCGGCCCTACAAATGCGGCTGGAGCAGGGGCTGGCCCCGAGCGGTGCCACCGCCGAGGATGTGGCCGTACGCGGCGGTGGCCGCGCTGCTGGGGCTGCTCCTGCTGCGCCGCTGGCACCGGGAGCGGCAGACGGTGCCGCGGCTCTCGGAGAAGCACGTGCTGATCACGGGATGCGACAGCGGCTTCGGGGAGCTGCTGGCTCGGCAGCTGGACGCGCGGGGGCTGCGGGTGCTGGCCGCCTGCCTGACGGCCAGCGGGGCCGCGCAGCTGCGGGCCGTCACCTCCGAGCGCCTGCAGACCGTCCTGCTGGATGTCACCTGCAGCAAGAGCATCGCCGATGCCACCGCCTGGGTCCGCGAGCGTGTGGGGGATCAAGGTAAACAGGGCTCGATAGCCCTGGTGTCACCCTGGCGTCACCCTGGTGTCACCCTGGTGTCCCCCCTGGCTTCCCCTGCCAGGCTGCGGGGCAATGACGGCTCTGGAATTCATGCCTGTCGCTTCTCTGGCGACATCCGTCTGCCATCAGCTCCTGCAGGAGCGCTGCCCGGGCTGAGAGTTCAGCTTTCAGCCTTTTCTCCCTGAAAATCCGCTAATTAAGAGCTGATTACCCCAACAGCTCTCCTGCCACCTTGCCCACTCAACTGGCACTGGGCTGTGCCCTTTGGGACAGCCTCAGCTCATCCCATCCCCTCCGCAGGGCTCTGGGGGCTGGTGAACAACGCAGGCATCGCCATCCCCACTGCTCCAAACGAGTGGCTGAGCAAGGAGGACTTTGTCAAGGTGCTGAATGTCAACCTGGTGGGGCTGGTGGAGGTGACTCTGAGCCTCCTGCCGCTGGTGCGGCGGGCGCGGGGCCGCGTGGTCAACGTGGCCAGCGTGATGGGCCGCGTGTCCTTCTTTGGTGGAGGCTACTGCATGTCCA